TACTGCATACAGGGTTGAAGGGAAGACGGTTAAGCTTGTACATGTCAATTTAGAAAGAAATCACAAGTACAAGCTCTGAAATATAAATGTTTGTGTTGGTTAGATGTGCTTAATTTTTAATAAATGTTAATCATTTAGTTAGCGTTGGGCTGCGAGTCTAGGACTTCAGGATAAGCTTACTATCATTGAATTCCCATCACAACAACGATTCTTCCTCGATTTTGCACCGGGTTATTGTAGGGACAGTTGGCAGCGGAAGATTCCGCGACTTGTCTACTTCTTTCAAGTGGCGGCCCTGTTTATATAAATAAATTATGGCCTATTGCATTATTAGGACGAAGGAAGGGGCGATGTAATCGAGTTGGGACCACAAAGCTTCCCCAAATTGGGTTATGCTTTCAATATCTCGCGTGTAATCATATTTCTCGACGGTGCGGCTGATATTGCACGGGTGAGTGGCGAAAAAAGCCCACAATCTGCAATGTTTTGAGCGAATGGAAATAAAATCTTTTCAAACTATATCGTCCCGCTTGAAAAAAAACCCTTTCAATTTAGAAGAAAGTGTCCTTCTTACACACTTAATAATTATAATACCAAATGGATAAGTTTACCAGCTTGTAGGAATTAAAGTACATATTGGTAAATATATTTGAAGCCTGTAAATTCTGTCTGATTTTAATTTTTGTTCAATAGTAAAACATTCCGCAAATCATCAACTAACCGAACTACCCTCGCACATAGTGGTCGAAACGAAAAAGCATACAGTTTTTAGACTTCATGAAGGTCTAAACTTTGAAAATTCAAGGATGCCAAAATTAACACCATTTTCCAATAGTGAATAAAACCAGAGGCTCTGCCATCTGATACGAGTTTGTTATTTCCCTGATCTATAGTTTTGAAGGATGATCTGACACGAGCTTCTGCAGTAGAAATAAACCAGTGCGTATCTCCTAAAACAAAGCCTCAGACACCCTGGTTTGTACGAAGTAGAGTTGAAGTTAACTTTGAATATGGAGTCTCTTGTTCAGAAATACTAAAAGATGAACTTCTATCTGCCGTTGCTAAAAAGCAGCTCCATTTACAACCTAGATCAGAAGTCATAATTTCTTTTAAAACCACTGCTACTAAAATATCTTCTACACATTTACAAACATGGAGAGAAGGGAGGGAGAGAGAAAGAGAGAGAGAGAGAGAGAGAGAGAGAGAGAGAGAGAGAGAGGTTTTTCTAAAGAATTTATATTTTATTAATAAAATAGTAATTTTACATCTCGTTACAATGTGGTAGTTAGTCTGTGAGAACGAGTCTAAGCGTTTTCTGCCAGGTAGGGAAGTTTGCTGAGGTGTAACTTGGTAACATTGGTTCCTCCTCAGGTAGGCATAATAACTTTCGTCTATGATTATTCGTTACATCTTTATATGAATATAAAAATTGAAAATAAGGGAAAAAACATTTTGTGTGTGTTTAGCAAAACATCCCAACACTTTGACAACTTCCTCAACAACTGCCACAAGTATCAATTAAATAGGCAATATTTTAGTAACATTGGAGTAATACCAACGAGTATTTTCTTCACTCTTGTTTTTAATTTTGTATATATTATTTTGCTCATTGTCACTTGTTACCTACTTGAAGAAAGTTGTAATGTTATTGTTATGTAATTATTTTAAAAATGTGTTTTAAGATGTAATTGATAGACAGATTTGAATATTTTCGAATAGTCATCGTTTAAAATTATGTGTCAAACTCGTTTGACGTTTCGCCATCATAAATGGTGGGTTTGAATGAACTTTTTGTTTACTCAGGTTTCTTTTGGATGTTCGACGTGAAAACTGTTTATTTTCGTCACTTTCGAACGTCATATGGTAATGGTAAGCTTGCCTGTGTTATTTTCGGTGATTTTGTGGGAGATGCCTTGTTTTCTGACATTAACCTTGTATGGGTCTTTGTGAATGTCTATTATTTTTTTCTATCTGCATGTATTTTGCTACGAATTTTGGTGTTATATATATATATATATATATATTATGCTGTTTTTCGAATAGTGGGTTGATCTTTTATCAGTAGGGTTTTTCAGTTATGTTTGTTCTCTATAGTGCAGCCTAATGTAATTAATTACATCTAATTTGTTTAATAGAGAAACGACTCTTTTTAAGACTGGCCTTCCACCGAAACAGTGAACGGCCGAATATTCATCCAGTCGTGTTAGGCCTTCTCAATAGACGACCGGCAGAGGAGCCGATCGAACGACCACTGGACCCGACACCTGGCCGTCACCAGTTGTATCTCTTCGTGATACACAAGGGTGCTACGAGCCAATAACAAAAATAATCGAAATGAATGTTGTGGATATGTTATTGTTATTGGATACAACCTACTATATGAGGAGGCGGAGAGCAAAAGGTCGAAAATATTGGGTACACCGTGGTAGTTCTTGTTTCGCATATCCGGTAAGGGAGGGTGGTCTTGAACTACGCTAATTATTTTTTCGGTGTCCATGGTGAAGTAAATTTTTAAAAAATTAACTCAAAATGTATATTTAAATCCTCTACAAAAATTCGACCGAACGAGACCTAAAAATCCCATCTTCATGGAATCATGCCGTCGTCTTCGTCCGTAAACGGGAGAACGCGGCGTCTTTAATGGATGCGTACCAATGCTTTCTCTTGTTGCTGGATCATTCGGCCGTATTAAACCGTACACGGCAGAATTTTATTCGGTCCATTTCGGTTCCAGTGGGGACGTCCGGGCTAAAGCGAGTTTTTGAGGTGTCGTTCTACCGGCTTTTTCATGGATTGCGGTTATGTTGTAGCTTTGTTAAATTTTTTTTAACGAGGGTTCGCAACAGCAGAGGTCATATCAACCCTCGTAGTGCTGTTTATGTTTTTTGAAAAAAAGCCCATTTGTAAGTATGTCGGGTTTGAATGCAGGGCCGCTTTATTCGAACCCGGGACGTTTACCTTATGGTGATGAATGCCAAAACCGATGCGGTCACCAACGCCCCCTGTTGTAGCTTTGTATGTTATGATTTCCCAGTTTTGTAATCGTGGTGGTGTTTTTAGTCTGTTGTATATTTGAGTTGTTTCGTGTCTTCTTGGGTGGTTTGAATCAGATCGAATAACAAGGTCGATTAAGATAAAACTCTCAACTACATGTACCCGACAATATCCAAGTGCCCAATCAAGGAATGGAAAACATGAAAATCACTTTCATTCCTAAAGTGAATAAATAAATAATTTTAAAAACAGAAATAATTCAAATACCAATTGGAAACTTACACCTACTTAAGAAAGGTTGTTTCTTTTCTGCATTTGACCCGGGTTCCTTTTACGCGAGGGCCTTTTGCATGTAGCACTTTTTTTCATTTTTGGAGGATTCTTGACGAGTTTTAGTCTAGCCGGGTCTTTTAAAAAAGTCAGAGATGCGCAATTCTTAGAGGGGTGTCGCCCCACACCCCGTCCAGACGCTCGGGCGAAAAGGGGTCGGGTCCCTCGGGGTATCGATCATGCGTAATCCGAGCGGTCGTGTAATGCCATGTAAATGATAATGATAGCTGTTGAGAGGCGGAGGTGTTATTTTTCAAATCAAGGGAATGAATGTTAAGCGGGACGTTTATTTATAAGTCTTTTCGTGGACTATTGCTCGTTAAAAGATATTCATGTGCCGAATAACGCGGGATTCTCTAGCTCCTGTTGGAGTCAATCAAGCATTCATACGCACGAAGCTGAGACATTCTATGTTTTTCTTGTTTTTGTCATCATTGAGATTGACGAGGAATTGTATTCTGCGTCCTTGTCATTGGCATTGACGCGATCTTACAGAAGAGAAGTTCTGACCGTAAAGTGCCAATAGTTCAGCACTGATGAAGGTTATCCTCGAACAATTCAATTTACGTAGATTTAACTTTCGAATATAGTCATTGTGTTGATTCCATTGTATGACGACAAACAATCTTAGCTCAATAAGGATGGATACGCAATCCATCCTACATGACACCACTTTCCAGGTTTCTGCAGTATCACCTCTTTGGTATTAAGTGCAACTTTCCAGGTTCTAAACAAATTTGACTTTGTCGACTTTCCCGTATGTTTTAACCAATTAGGAACCTTGCACATCAATTGTCCTCTTAAAGTGCAGTAAAGATGCTGGCGCAAAAGGCATCCATCCACCATGCGAGTTTCTACAGTAACATATTAACTGACATTGAAATACAAATTTTCCATGATGTGGGCAAACTGATTGAATATCCTTTTCAACTTGAATCTAATATAATCATTCAATGCCGATACATCACGTCTAGAAAGGTATCAAACACACCTTGAGGTATGGGACAATAACCAGTGCTGCTCGGATGATGAACAAGAATCGTTAGCACTAGTTCTACACAAATCTTACGTATGACTTTCTGTTTATTACAACAAATAGTCAGAAGCTGTGCACATAAATTGTTCTCTTAATGCTCAATAATGATGCTGACATAAACTGACATCCATCCAGCGTGCAAGGTTCTGTGGTCCACTGATTGAATACCTTTTATATCTTGGATCTAATTTTATCATTCAATATCAATACGTTACGTCGATAAAATTGTAACAAACATACCAGTGCTGCACAGGGATGTGAGAAACAAGCCAGTTCTACACAAGTCTTTCGTTTCACTTTCCCATGTATCATAAGGAATGATCAGAACCCATGCACATTAATTATCGTGATAAAACTCAATAAGAATGCCAATATATATTGGCTTTCTAGTTTCCCCACCACTTTCGTTCATTTTAATAACCTTTTGGGTGTAATTATTTAGTTGTAAATATAACTATAAAAATTGTACAAAAAAGCGTTAACAACCAGAGTCCTTTGATCAAGAAAGCAAACTCCCAAAGATGAAGAACGAAGTTAAAGAGTGTTTATTTTACTTCAACGCTTAAAATGAAAAATTGGCCTAGAATTGCAATATTATATTTGTGGCTAGATAATTAAACTTTATATTTTACGTTTGCAGGAGGAAACAGGACGAAGTAGAAGTGCTGGAAGAGACGATTCGGCAACGGAACGAGCAGCACAAAAAAGCCGGAATGGAGCTGGACGCGACATGTCACATCTGCTTGAAGACTAAGTTCGCCGACGGGGTCGGCCACGTGTGCAACTACTGCAGCATCAGGTGCTGCGCCCGCTGCGGCGGCAAGGTCACCCTCAGGTCCAACAAGGTGAGCCTAAACCATACAGGAAATAAACATACAGGAAATCCTCAAATTGGGATTTTCTCCTCACCGAACTCAACACAAAGAGGATTTTCCTCAAGAAACTCAAGGCCTAGCTCTGTTTTGACTGGGGATTGTTGGTTGTTCTCTTTGTCTTGGCCTCAACGCGGAAAAAGAATTGATTTTTGTTCGGAATCTTCCTCTCACCGCGGCCTGACCACCAACTTTAAGCACGTTGAGGAATTCCTCAAGGCTTGCACTGATCAGGCGTCGTGTATGGCTACCTTAAGACGCTATTCGCCCTCGCTTCCCCGTGATTTATACAACTGCAGAGCCCGTTGGCTCAATTCCATACGTCGAATATACGCATCGCCCTTTACGGCTTTTTCGTCCGGTCCGCAAAAGCCCAGTTTTAACCGCTGGGGACGTTATTTCTTACTCTGCTGTATCATTTATTTCCAACTGGAGAGCTTTCTTCCATATTTCAATTCTTCTATCAACTTCTATGTAAAAGAAAGAATAGGACTTCAAAAAATGGCTTTTAATATATGTATGTGAAAACGTAAATATTCGTGACTAGGCAGATACTTCTAGAGTATAATTTACGTTGTTAAAAACTGCTCTTTGGTCGAGTATGTAGTCCCTCCTGTTTCTCTAGTCGACAGTTGCCAGAAAACAGTTGGATTTCACTTTTTTTGGTGTATTTTTTCTTTTTTAATATAAAATTGGTTGTGTCTTCCCCCTTTTATCTTAGAGATTCCTCTGATAATATCACAGCTGCCTAGATTACAAAAATCGACAAAAGCGATTTATACAACAGCTACTGATATTATTTTCCCATTTCATATCAGATGAAACGTAGTAAAGTTGAAAAGGGCTGTAAAGCAAAAGAAAAGTGATTTTTCATTTTGTTATTGCGAAACAGATCTCGTTTTTAAATGGCCCCGTGGATTTTATATGTAAGGCTGATTGTAAGTTTTAGCTTCAGAGACCAGGCAGCACGTTTTGCATTGATCGTCCCGTTCAAGTTTTAAACAATTAGGACATTGTTTGCCCACGTGGGCCCGAACAGTGGGAATTATTAACTAACCCCACCCAAGGAGTGTGGCCGGTCGGGATCAATAAAAAGACGTCATATCTCGGTGACGTCACTCACGGCCCCTTATTCATAACTGGCCGCAGTACAACTCCTGCACTTGTTACGCCCTGGGACGGTTGATAATTAAAAAACGGGCCCCTTTTCGGAAACGGGCCGTAAACGGTTTTACGACGGCCCTGGACTGTGGAGTCGCAGACGTCCCGAATTTAACGGGCGTCTCGTGGGTCAGCGTAAAAAAAGGACCGAGGATTTTGTGATTTTTCCTCAAGAATCGTTTACGTTTTTATGAGTAATCTGTCTTGATCTAGGGTTGGGATGGTAATAATCTAATGTAGATTACGTATCCTTATACAAGCCATCAAGGTGATCATCGTAACTCGGAAGTATATCGAATCACCACTGCATTTAAGGGTTTAATATGTAATGTCAACCTTTTTCAGAAGAACCTAAGAACCAAGGGTCATCACACACTCCAAATAATCACGGAGTTAGTCTATGATCACCTAGAAACAATGAGGTTAGCCCTCTAATAACGGTTTTCCTTTGTGTCATATTTAAATGACAACATTACAAAAGATTACTTTCAAGTGGGTGTTCAGTTATGCTGAACCTGTAGTTTGGTCGTTTTGGTCTTTCTACCCTTGCTGATTTGACCTGTCAGACAAATTTCAACTTCCCGATATCTTTTTTTTTTTTTTTTTTTTTCCTTATGATCTTGCATATTAGCCATAGTACGAATTCTTGTGTGTTCAATTTGGGGGTTATCGGGAAAAAAGGTGAGAGTCTCTCATGCTAACCACTCGGCTACCGCGGTCCCCTCCCGATATCTTTAAGATGGAAACAAACAGAGACCCAGAGAAGAAGAAGCCTTAACGCGTTTGTCAGGCCAAATCAGCGATATGAAGCCAAGACAGAACATGATCTATGTTAATGAGCAATTAAACTCATTAGGGAAGTACACCTCGGTCTTTCAAGCTGAAATGGTATTAATGCTTATACCATAGAAAATCTTAAAGGAGGTTATACTGACGTAAAAAAGGAGCCATTAAAGCACTAGCATGTAAAAGAGTTACATCAAAATTAGTCAGTGAATGCATTCAAAATTTCCAAAATCTGGGGAAACACAACAACCTGATGATATCTTGGGTACAAGGGCACAGAGGAATTTGGGGTAACTAGAAAGTAGACAGGCTGGCCACATGAGGATCCGTAAGGCCATTCATGTCCCCGAACCTATACTTGGGATAACAAAAACAAATATAGATGCCTCCATCGCAGAAAAGATCTGAATAAAACAAAAGGAGAATTGGATAAACTCTAGCGATGCGAGACATAGTAAACTATTGATGAAACAACCCTCACCAAGACCTACAAAATCTCTGCTGCAACTGGAAAGGGCTAAACTCAGAGGAGTGGTAGGACTACTAACCGGTCACTGGCATCTGAGAAAACATCTACACAACATGGGCATATACAACGATGATCCTATCTGCAGATTATGTAATGAGGAGGAGGAAACAGCCACCCATATCATCTTCGACTGCGAAGCAACAGCTCAATGGAGATTCAACCTAGCATACGAAAAAACATAGGGAATGAAATTGTAGCAGCGACAGTCAATGACTTGATACTCCTAAGGAGAAGGTTAGAGCCTATGCACTGAACTAAGGAACTAGGAAGATAATACAATACCATACCAAGGAATTACGAACATTACAATAAGCAGAAGGCTGCAGTGCTTGGGTTTTGCAGTAAACCCTCGCTTCCTAGCATCTATTATTATCATGTTGATGTTCCAAACGGTCCAATGACATATTACACTATAACTACTTGTCAATAGGAAGTGTTTTTGCGTCTGGACGTATTTAGTCGTTTCTGAATACTGAAAAAAGTTAACAATGTCAAACTATTGTTGAATCTGCACTGGATCCACCTAAACTCGGGAGAGTTCCTCGCTGAAGATGGCGCTAAGCCAAGATTGGCATACCAAAATCCACCCATCAACTTTAACATCCGACGCATGCCGTCTAGATTTTCAAAACAAAATAATGCATCCATTGGCAATATCGGCAATAGAACCGAAGAAAGAAACTGCTTTTGGCCAAAAATTCGACGCATCTGATCACCTTGGTCTGCTCAATATCTTCAGTATATGAATGTTTTCGTCCTTTTCAAATATTCTGGTGAAAATCTATTGAAGCACTTCGTTTTAATTAGAGAGATTATCCTTTATATAGTAATACATTTTAAACCTTTCAAATACACCTAGTTTTTTTTTTCTCGTATCTCATCAGCCCGATGATTTATAAACACTTAAACCTCAGCGGGAAGTAATCCAAAGCTCGGAGTTTGCAGGAGACCACTGAAATCTAAGAGACTGAAAAATAAGGAGGAAAATTGCGTGCGTGCGGACTCCAGCTGTTCTATAATTAACCGATTTTATCGAAATAATATCAGCCCTTTATGATTGATGGCGTCAAACCTGACTTAGCGCGATAAAAAAAGGAAAGGTGAAACATTTCTATAAACGAAATCGTTTCACGTAAAAATATCCATGCGTGGACCCAACGTAACGTGTTTCAAGTTGGTCGGTTGTATTTGCCGTATACCTTGCCTACTGTTTATATGTACTTCGTGACGTTGGTTCTATAAAGACTTACGAATACAAAGTACGTTGTGACGGGGAAACGGTCCCACAAATTTTCACAATATGGTGTTGAATGTCAAGATGAGGAAGTTAGATGATTTGAATGAAGTATTAAGCGTCGTATCGTAACAATTAAGGTCCGAACTTTGTTTCCGCCTGGCCACGTTTAAAAACACGACGTCCAAAAGATTTACTAGCTTCTTATTTTGGATCTTATTTATCTTCGTTATAACCACTTATTACTGTCATACATAGTTTGCTTCATTTGTACTCTCCTGTCGAGATTGTATTTTTGCTTTGGCATTTCGCTATAATCTATATTGTTTCGGTAGCCTGAATAGTTATAAACGTTTTATAAAAAAGAAGAATCGTCATATACTATGGTTGGAATGCACAGTTGTTTAACAAAATAATTACTTATTAATTACAAAACTAATTACTTTTAGATTCAATCATTCGATCAGCCAGTCAGTTACAGTCCAACAGCTTAAATGTGAAATGCCGGAACGAACCAGCGATAGCACGCAGACCAGGGTGATCGTGCCAAATTTCCGAAGCTTCAGGTCTATCACTCACAGACCTCACTGTAAAATTTGAAATTTAGACTTCAGCCTCTAGATTCTTCAAAGAGCACGAGGTTGATGGAAGTAGCAATGTCCTACAAAAGTTTTAAAAAGTTCTTATGTGACCAATGTCGAATCTTTGGCAGAGGAGAAAGAATCTTTCCTTATTAAATAAGATGGTTGTTTAGGTGTTTAAAGAACCATTTTCTTGCCATTCTTGCCACTCCTAGTATTTTCCATATGCCTATTGTTTCTCTAAAGTGCAGTTAATATGCGTACAATAATCATAAGCTTTTTCAGGCAGCAGTTCTGTTGTTACACATTATGTTCTGTACTTAGGTTATTAAGTAGTTACTCTTAGGCCTCTCTGATAACCTGAGATGAATTAAGGTAGTGACTAGTCTTATTCTATCATGAAGGGCTCTTGTAGAATAGACTTTTGAGTACTCCAGCTTATCATGAGATATGATCGAGCATAATAAACAACTGGCATAATAAATAAACGTGATGTTATGGCAAAATTGAAAATAGCTGGTGAACTGTAGAGATTGTCACTAGGACAAAGGTCAAAAAAAAGATGGCAGGTTAAGACAGTCATCGCCTCAGAAAAGGAAGGCTTCTTTCAAATTCATGAATTGTTGGAAGGTATTTCTGACTAAAACAGAACAACGAGGACAAGTATAGTCATAAATTTAATTAAGCTGTGAACAAAGGTGTGTCATTGTGTTGAGTCAAGAATCGATGGATTGATGATGTTCTATAGCAATTTCAAGAATCAAGTCCAATCACTTACGTACTTCCCAGGGTGTGTGAGATATCTGGACTTTTAGCTGCCATCTACACAAAATGAGGAAGGCGAAAAAGAGCAGTAGTCAGACTTCACTTCACCTAAGCCCAAGCTTTCCTCTGAGAGAAACTTACAAAAATCTTTTGAAAACCACAATTGATATTGAACTTTACTAAAAGACGGCCATAGCTGTTGAAAATTTGGTTTATTGGCGAAATCCAGACGTATGACAACCCGTCAGTTACTGCAAGAGTGCAGTGTGGCAAAAATCCATATTGTTGGAAAAAGGAAGTTGTCATTCATCACGAGTTAGGTCCTCATGGATGTTTTACGAACTCTGAATACTAACTACTGCGATAAAATTTACGCGCAATTGTCAGCAACCCTTGATTTTAATTAAAGCCGGATCTGTTCCAAATAGGAAAATCTTGATCGCATCAAAGACCTCCCGCATCCACCATATAGCTCAGACCTAGCTCCTTCAGATTACTACTGTTATCTGTCATGGTTCATAATATTTAATTTGTTTAATTTAGTTTAGAAGTTGAGGTTCCAATGCAAGAGTTTTTCGAGTGTTCCCTCGAAGTGGTTATGAACGTGGGATCGCACAACTTGACTAATGAATTTTGATTGATACTGAATGAGGAGTTTATGTTTCTGGTATTTACAATAGACCTTTTGCGTTTGTGCATGTACAAATCCATTTTGAATCAAATTAATCGATCCGCGGCCATTTTTGAGGTCATTAGCCCTCATTTGAAATCGTCTAAATAAAGAAAAATGACATTTGTGTGGTGATTAGTGACCGTTAATCGAGAATTATTCTAAAATCGTGAGATGCAGTCTGGTGTGATGTAGTTTCAGAAAAAGAAAATAATTATCATAAAGAATAAAGAAAATGTTTTTCTGAAACCTACATCACACCAGACCGCATCTCACGATTTCTGAATAAAAATGACATTTTTCATCAGCCAAGTGCCTGTCGATTGCTCGGGACGAAAAGTTCAATTGAACGAAGAGTACACTGCACACAGGAGGCTCTCCCCCGGCTAGTGGACCGTGAATCAATACAAGTGTGTAGCCGATTCGGTCATATGGCCCATTCATTCGGCTCGGTCTGTATCCCTCTCGGAGTTTATAACAGTTACGGCCTCCCGTAACTAACTCTAAAGGACGAGGATGAGCACGAGACTTTTTTTTTCCTTTGCTGCGACACAGCGGTAAATAAACTGGCCGAGGGGAAAATCACAAACGGGCCAGGGGGTGCGCAGACGGCCGAGGTCTTGGCGCAGTATCATTGTGCTGCCAAAAATATGCCATCGAAAGAGAAAGGCGACCGGTTTCACTGTGTCGGACCACAAATGAAGGCCGGTCGTTTTTCGTCCAAGAAAATATTCGTCTGGACGGATTTTTATACAGACAACCTGACCCCTGACTATAAAATGTTTGAAACAGCTGGAAAAAAAATGCAAAATTGAGAAAAAAAAATTAAAGAAATTCACGCAACCGTTGTACCGAGTTAAATATGTTAACAATGATTATTTGGAGGTCGTGAGATGCGATCTGGTATGACGTAGGTTTTATAAAAACATTTTCTTTATCGTGCCAACGTTTCGATCTTTATTGAGATCATCTTCAGGGCTCAAAGTATTTGTTTTCCGTGTAGATCATTGTCATTCTTGTCTGTCGTATTGAGAGTGTGTTAATAATAAGTATCAACAACGGATAAACGTGAACCACCATAAGAAATTCTCATCAGCTAAATCTGATAACATTTCAACCATGTTGAACCGATCGAAACTGGACACTTGTCGGACCCTTTATTTCTATTCTGATTTACGTTTCACTTATGCGCGTTTAGGCTTCACGCCATAATCAAGGGACTTATGCGACTCATACTTTTGTTCAGGAAGGTTATTCATACGTTTTTGAAGATGTCTTGTGAATTATTTTCTGTTGTACCGAATAATGATTTTTTAAATTATATTTGCAAGTTTCAATTAATTATTCTTTTTATGTAGAGTCTTGGTTGAGGTGAAAATGTTAATGTCATGAGGGGGATTAGAACCCACGACCTTCGGCTCAATAGGCCGCTGCTCTAACTAGTTGAGCTATCGTGACTTACATCCACTTGGACACCAACTCCCCATTCCAACGTAAACCCTCGAATTTTCCTTCTTATTGCAATTTTTCAAATGTCGCGTAATCAGGATTCACTTCTCGCGGGTACGAATCCCGCTCGTGACACTATTTTTTCATCTCAACCAAGACCTTACATAAAAAGAGTAATTAATTGAAATAAGTAATTTGGTCAATCAGACCACATAAATGGATTTATAGTTGCAAGGTTGCTCATCTTTTAACAAACAACAGTTTGTGTTACTGTTCAGTTTTCTATCGTTACTATTTTTTTTAGTCAGTTAGAGTTCAGTTTTCTATTAGTTCCGAAATAGCACACTTAAGCCGGGAACACACACGATGCTACGCCATGCGACGCTACCCGACGCCTTGCCATGTTTTGGTGGGGTGTGCACATCTATCCGACGCAAGCACACGTCGCGTACAGTCCGCAGCGTTTATCACAATAATCACTTCCGGCAGAAGCCATAATACCTTTTATAAATAATACCCAATGGATGGTTTCTAAATAAAGCTTATTTTTACTATTGTAAATAATTAAACGATTAATAGGAGAGATTCAAGTTTTATGATGGAATGTGTTGTTCAATAATGGTTACGTATAAACAAAGGGCATATCGAGTCCAGAATGTATCTGCGTATTGCTGATAAATTTTATAATTCAACGATTGCCCTTGGGAAACAATTGAAAACTGGTATTCAAAATACTTACAGGTTAATCTTTTTTCTTCTTCTTTTCGGCTTGTGATTTCGACTTATCGCTCGCGGAAGCGGCGGCGGATCCCAGGGCGTGCCGGGAAAAGAGCGAGACAAATGTCAAGTGGGTTGGAGATGAGCCAGATCTCGTCTCCTCATTCATCCCGCTTTCCGACAATTATAAACTAAAACACCGCATTATGCTCACTGCGACATGTCCTCGCCGCAATCTGCCTCTTGGGTAAATAAATCTGAACGGACGTCCTGCGATCGGAGGACACATAAGCGGATGCCCAACAATCCACATGAACTTGTATCTCTGCTATATGTAGAACCTAGGAAATATGTTTGTATACATTTTAAATTTATTTTGTTTTATTTTACATTGAGTGTTCAATTCTTGTTGTAGCTTGGTCGTTGTTACTGAAATCGGAACAAAAGTAAACTTGCCGATATATAGATCCGTTGTGGTTGCAGGTAATCTGGGTGTGCATTCTCTGCCGTAAGAAGCAGGAGCTGCTGAGCAAGACCGGCCAATGGATCAACAAAGGGATGCACGGCGGAGACCCCGTCATGAGGCGGATAGAAGCGGACATGCAGTCGGGAACACTCATGGACAAGCGGCCGAAGCTGGAGCGGGCACACAGCGCCGCAGAAAAGGAGAACCAGCCCCTCGTGAGGACGGGGAGCATGCTGAGGAGGCAGTACTCGCAGCAAGACCAAGCGCGAGAAGAAGAAATGAGGTAAATTTCACACTCGAGTCCGTTACCGACTTTAAAAACTTTAAAATTTGACGGGAACAATTATGTAAAGTTAGAAGTGGACAAGCCCATCACGTTATGCGCACCATAACACCCTTGAGTTCAATCAGTACTCCAAGTGTCTTCTAGATCATATATATCAAGCATCTGACAGCCTTCACCTTAGCACCTGGATCTTCTGTGAAAACACAATGGAAAACCTTTCTCCTGCGTCACATCATCCTTAAGGCTTCTTCCAGGCATCTTCCAATTATCCTATCCGCGATGCTGTACGCAACGAAGTACCCTGGTACAATTAATCTATATCCTAGAGCTTCCTTTTCACCGCCATACCACGACATTCATATTAGCCGATGTCTGCTCTCTTTCCCAAATCTGATCTTGCCGTAACCACCAGCTCATTCCACTTCCACAGACTGAAACTGAAACCAAGGTTATCGTAAGCAAAATTGAGAGCCTAATCAAACGTAAACCGTAAATAAATTATTAATTTTATCTAAGGTCTTGGTTGGGGGGCCGCGGTAGCCGAGTGGTTAAGGCGTCAGACCCTCGGCTAGTAGATCCCGAGGTCGTGGGTTGATCCCCACCGTCGCCTCTGGACTTTTCTGACGCCTAAGGGAACCGGTAGCCGCAATTGAAAGAAATTGACACGGCACTCATCAATGGAAGGAGCGGGATCAGATCACAGCGACCCTGAATATGGTCCCAACCCCCTTCAAAAATGAGTTTCTTCGATGGAAGAACACCAGTACAACGGGGGCTCAAGTTCACATTTGTGAGCCCTCCCCCAAAAATATGGAGCCAGGGATAAAGCTGTACAGCTCAGCTGCAGTGCTCAGAAGGGAACTCCTCCAATCCCTGGTATCTATTGTAAACAAAAAAGTCTTGGTTGAAAGGGATTCGAACACACGACCTTCGAAGTCACGATAGCTCAAGTGGTTATAGCAGCGGCGTATTTAGTCGAAGGTCGTGGGTTCGAATCCCGCTCGTGAACTAACTTTTTCATCTTAACTAAGACCTTCGATAAAAAGAATAATTAATTGCAAATTTCTACTTTCAATTTTGACCGCTAAACATATACGGGTAAATTGCAAAGTTATAGGTTCGGTCTCAACAGTCTGCTTTTCTTCCTTGAAAAAGAGTTCGAAAAGTTTCTTCTTCCATTCACCAAGTCCATCGTGTTTTACACACCATCCTTTTCTTTAGTTGAAGCAATACTCCAAGTTGATGCTGGGTGTTGGTCTGCAGGATTGAGAACTGATGATGAACCGGTATTGGGTTACTTATTGAGGTCCGTCTTTATTCGGAGGTTTGAGTAATTCAACAAACATGCGAATAAAGACGGACCCCAACACTATATGATCCAGTTCCGGTACAACATGACTCCAAGTGTTTTCCTGGGCATCTGTCAAGCTTTTAACAGAGTATGGCCGGAAAAACTTCCTCCTATTTACCTTTTCATCCAATCCTATAAATCCGATGATCACTATCGAGTAGGCCTAGTCGGACAGAGTAAAAGTTGAAACCTTCGATCTACAATGAGTGAATGTAACCTTGTTCAGTTCACTATGTCCTTGTTGCATCAATTGCATCAGAAGAAGATAGAGTTTACACCTAATGATGACTAGTCTGGCCAACGGTTATTTAACAGATTAACGATTAACGATTAACGATTTATATTCTGGCCCAGGTACTACAGGGGTGAGCTGGAAGGTCTGATGCGAGCACAGCAGTGCGGACCGCAGCCCGAGTTCAGGAACGACTCCTTCAGTTCGGAGCAGTCGTCCTCGATGGACTGCGGCCCGAGAGCGGCCAGCGCCGTCAAGAAGCACAGGCGGAGCGGTCCGGTCAAAAAGGTCGGCGAGCTGTCCCCCAGGGCGACCCACGCAGTCGTCCAGCCCCAGCGTTCCTTCTCCAGTTCGGAGGACGAGATGCGATCCACCCCCGAATGTACCAGCTGTGAGGAACATGAAAACGAAAAAGGTGAGAAAAAACCCTCCTTCGGGAATTTGACACACTTTGTATTCTTTCCCTAAACAATAGACAAAATTTGAAATAATAAAAAATTTAGGGTTGTAACGAAGTAATGATTGCTCTGTTGGTATTTCGGGTGTATTGGAAAGAAAAATAGTAAGAAAGAAATTATGTTAACTCACTTCTGTCTCTACGCACGCAGGTGACAGGGATAGGCCGGCTGCATACCAGCGTCTCGATAAGCAGGCCATCTTAGATGAAAAAATTAAAAAGTTTCTGGCGGTGAGCCTCAATAATACTTCTTTTTTCAGTGTTCCTTCGGGTGATGCAGCTTGGTTTTTGTGTGCATGATTCTCCCAGAAGAGACATTTATTATTGTAACTTTATTTTCGATTATGTGTGTGGATTCTCTCCTTTTTCTTTAAATGTATATTTTGTACGTAGTGGATTTCTTCTTTATTCGAATCGTTCATCTGACTCGCTACTGTTCTTTTATTTTTGCGTTATCTTTGTGTAGCATTTCTGATGATTTTTTTTTTTTTTTAATAGAAAACAGTTTTTCATATTTTTATATTTTTTGGTAGATCAGACCGTCCTCCTAAATAATCATGTTCATGCCCCGATAAAAACACAATCGTATAGTTGAAAAGTATAGACAAGTTACGATGTGTAATAAATTAAGCTTTATAGACAGTGTTTTATCATAGATTAAAATAAAAAAAGGGGAGAAGTAGTCTTAAAATTTTAATACTGTATTTATTTATATTACTACCAGTGTCCTTTCGTAAATTCCCCTGACAGGCAAAAAATTCCACCCATTTGTAATATAACTTGATTTGTATATATTTTTATATGCTAATCAAGGTTTCACGTTTTTTTAACGTTTAATAATTGAGTCTTTGTCCAAAAAGTTTTAAAAAAATTGCTAAGGAAAAAGAAAAATAAAAAAAGACGGTCAGATAAAATTTGGTGTAATTAGATTTTTAGTTAACATTTCAATATCGCGTATTTCCTCCTCTTGTCTTCATTACATCTCGAAGACACCTCGGCATAGTTTCTACCAGTCTGGAAATGTTTCTTTGCTGGAGGTTAGCCCATTCTTCAAAAAGAGACCTTTCAAGATCAGGAAGTGATGGACGTGCTTTTATTCGGCTTTTGAGGTTATCCCATAAATGTTCGATGCGGTTCAAGTCTGGAAAGCTGCTGGCCCCTGAGCCCCAAAGACCTTAATGTTATGCTGTTCAAGGTACATTTGTACTATGCGAGCGACATGTGAACGGGCATTATCGTGCATTAGAATAGGATTGTCGCTGATATCATCGAGGATAGGCAAGCGTCATGTTCCAAAATTTCCTCCACTTAGCGAGTGGCCGTCAAAGACCCCCCACGGACAAAACAACCAACTCTGTGAGATTCTCCATTGAGATTCCCACACCCAGCATCACTAAGCTACTTTGAAAAGGTTGGCTCTGGGGGCAATTACAGGCTTCGGACCTTTCATTTCGCCTTCTCACCATCTGGATATCGTAAAGCAAATCTACAATCATCGGTAAAACGTGCAGCAGACCAAACGTCCAAAGACCAATGGCTTTGTTCTCGAGCAAATGCGAGCAACTCTGTGTGTTCTGGTCAATTCTGGTCATCTTACGGGAAGAAAAGCCATCAGTCCATACTGATTTAACCTTCTTCGAGCAGTGCATTCAGAAATTTAGACACCTCGAACTTCCTGGAGCTAATGTATCGCTTGAACAACAGTAAAGTGCCGGTTTCGCAAAATTCTCAAAGTCAAAAAACGGTCATCCCGTGGTTCTTTTACCCTAGGACGTCCAGAACCGGGCCTTTTATGGTAGGACCCAGATTCTCGAAAACGTCTAACGGCGTCTCGCAGAGTTTCGTAAGGAACTCCGATGGCGATAGCCGCATACCTGATGGAATGTCCATTATCAATAAATGCCGCAACACGCGCAACATCCTCAGCAGTAAATGGCATTTTTAACTTTAAAAATTGGAATTAACAAACAGAAAACAAAGATGAAAACTAAACGGTTTATTGCTTCAGAATTCAAATGAGACTGAATAAACATTTTTTTTTTTAAAGTCATTTAAAGTTGAAAAATCTTTTATCCTTGTTTTGGATTAAGGATTACCTCTAATTGATATTCCCATTTTAAAATAGGAAATTTTAAAATATAGGATAAACAAATATTTAGTGGTAAAAACAATGAGACAAATTAAGGGCAAAATTTTCTTTTATCAAGAAAATGAACAAATCAATTGTGTGGAATTTTTTGCCTGTCAGTGTATATTTTCAAGACCGCTTACTTTCTTTTGACCGTATAAAATTTCAAACTTGACAGATCGATCATGACTCTCATTAAATAGATACGTAATTTTTGTACTAACTAGTAGACCTCTTAGCTTATCTTAAACTAAGAAGAATTTGAAACAATTTTAGATCTTTTTTGTTTTTTTACAACAGCCAAAATTAGTTGTTAATAGTCTTACAGCAAATTACCTTTTACAAACTGAGCACGCTAGCGGAATCGGTTGATAGTTCTGCCGTTATGCTTTATCTTGTTCTCGTGCGTCTCAAGCGTTAACTTCATTGTCTGTCACGGAACGAATTAGTAGAACGAACTCAATCCCGATCGCCGCGTTTGCCGTAAATACAAAGTTTACGGGGCTTAGTGGATTAATGGTAAGAGGGGGGTTATAATAATTAAACAAGCTGCATTGAGGAGAGAATTTTTTTTTAATTGGGGATTTTATAAACAACTGTCAAACATTGAAAGATCGAAGACAAAATTGTATTTTCCTATAAGAAATAACAAACGAGAGAATAAGCGGGAAAAAGTCGCGTTTTCCGACGGTACGGATCGAAGGAAAAAAGGGGCCAATATAAATTCTCCATTATTAAATGCTGGTGCCTTGTGTAATGTGGTGTGTTGTATTGTTGTTGTTGGTTGTTGTTGTTGCACATTGCCAGTGGTGACAGAGAGGAGAGAGGGGCCCAGTATACTTGTGGAAAGGAGAAGAAAGAAGACCGTTAGATTTGATGGTCACGGTACCAAGGACTCGGGGATTGATACGTCGAGTACGTTCACGTCGAGCGAGGACTCCAACTCAGCTCCAAAGGTAAAGACGGCGCATTATCACACCTAGAGAATAGACAGCTTAGTGCAAAATCAAATGTGACCAAGGCGTTAGTCAACCGTTAGAAGCTTTAGGACCTTCCCAAAACCGTCTTCAATCACACGAATTAGATCAGCTTCAAAACTGTACTGTTTATATTTGACTAATTTATTTACAAAATCGACGTTATTGCACACTCTTCACTTTTTTTTAACTTTGGACTACCTTAAAACCAGAGGGCAGAGAATCAAAATTAAAGCTAATTCACTGCTTCCTTTCGGACACAATATTTTGAACCTCACTTCCATTAGTGTTAATTTTTACAGTAAGGTGTTAAAGCAAATAACCTAATAGATATTTTCAATTATTTAATCTTTAATTAAGGTTTTGGTTGAGATAAAAAAGTCAGTGTCACGAGCTTGAGATAAAAAGTGGGAAGTTAATGTCCGAGTGGATCGAAGTCACGATAGCTCAATTGGTAGAGCAGCGGCGTATTTAGCCGGAGGTGGTGGGTTCGAATCCCGCTCGTGACACTGACTTTTTATCTCAAAAAACCTTAATTAAAGATTGATTAATTGAAAAGAATTTATTTGTTCAATCGGACCACGAAACCTAATAGATCTAATAGATATTCTTCCATTTCATGTCCTCGTATATCTACACCTCGTTAATATTATGTCCACTCTAGATAACACCATTTGACCTTTAACACGTGAAATTCAAATTATACGGAAGAATACTGGTGCAAGTTAGTGACTACACAATGGATTTGCCAAAATGGACTCGATTCTGTCGAAACAGGAATTCAAATCATGCTCAAAATGCAAGTTTTGCGCTTCTGGCTTTAATATAGCTATAGTTCTAGGTACGCTGAGATCTCAAATATCCTCAAACAGTCGGACGTATATTCTAGCTTTTGCATGAGCTCTTATAAAATATCAACAGAAGGGATTTTAAATTTGTTCAACAGAATAAGCATGATTATTTCGTTTGATTTAATACGCAAAGGTCAAAAAATCAAAACATTTTTGGAGAAGGTGTAGATCAATATAACGCCTTTTTGCTATTCTTTTTCTGACTGGCCATGGGACTTTTTTTTTGCCTGGTAGCTTGACAGGCTTCCCTTTTTTCTACATGTAATATGTAGTTTACCTAAACAGCTTTTCTAAAAATAAATATTCATTGAACCATGTGTACAGTTGTCAGAGCCACCATTCTGGTACAACCAGCTTCAAAAACCATGATCTTTGGTTTTATCTTGGCTTTTTTGTATTCTCATTCTCGACTAATGACATAGTTTACATTCGTGTTTGGTGACATTTCAGAAACCAACCTGAAGAGAGCCACATTAATCGGGAGGTATAAAGGATATAAGAAGGGAGAGGCATTATTTTATTTTTATTTTGTAATGGCCTAACAATTTTTTTATATTAGCCACAGTACGTTCGTTGAACAGTTGATGTTGTTATATTTTTTGTGTGGGCGGGGAGAAAAATTAAAGAAAATTCAAGCGGCGACGGTGGGAATCGAACCCAAGATCATAACCAGACGTCAAGAGGAAATCTCACAAAATATACTCTACCATCACAGACGTCGATTCATAGCTTTTCCAAGAACAAAAATGAAAATAAATGGTGTATTAAGCACTTTCTAAACCATATTAACTAGCATAAAAATTAAACATCCGTCGGTGAAGGACTAGTACAGAGGAAATGTCTTAAACAAGGGGGATAGGGGCTCGCCCTGCTTGAAATATGCTTAGGTCGGGGTTTAAATAAGTAGATCCTTGGGTGCATTCACTTGAGATTTTCAGCTTACAAAAAGATGTCGGGACAAAAATTAAAACCCCGATAACGAATCTGTTACAATAATCAATCCATGAAGTAAATGTCAGTCATTAGCTTAACAATTTATATCATTTATGGCATGATTCGTTAGATTTGATTCTTTCTGTCATTTCCACCAGTGAATTACTTTGAAATGAGGAATCATTTAGAGTCATTTGAAGCAAAAAGAAACCCAGAATACATTTTCGAAGTGGAACGTTAATTTTTTTCCGACAAAAGCAATCGTATTCTTGAATTATTGCAGGTTTTTAAAGATTTAGTTTAAATTAAATCCACTTTTATTCAACTTATCGAACATTGGTGCATTACTAGACTGACAGAACCTAATTTGTTTTTCGTCCGCCTATTCTCGCTGTTTTGCCTGTCACACGTTTAAGCTTCTCGCCATCTTCACTGGTGGGTTTTATTAATATAATTTCGATTGAAAAGAAGTTTCTTTATTTTCGCTCTAAAAGTCAAGAAATAAAAATTGGCAACCAGCAGTAATAGAGATTTTACCTTGAAGTCTTCACAGTGACCTGGAAAAAAAACCTGGAATTTGGTGCTTCTGATCCTTGCCCGTTTATACCCTTAGTCTTAAACCCCTCCTCTTTTTCATTTCTCGTTTTTTAGATTTCTTCTTGAGATGAGAGATCTGATTAACCTGTACATTGTTCATTTCCGTTTATTACAGTCCACCAAGTTTTGCTGTCTTTCAGACGCGTTACGTCTTTTCGCGATTGTCAGAAAATTTAGCGTCAATAGCTAGCTCCATTGCCTCACCCTGCTTACAACCCTCACCCACAAGCGTTAATAGGTCTACTAGATGTAGCTTAGCCGGATATAGGGTGAGTCCTTCTTGAGGTCTGCGAGATAATTAATTTGCGGTTTGTTCGTCTCATTCGGTCCGCCCAGACTCGTGTTTTTGCCTATCAGACGCGCCTAATTTCGCTAATATATTCATAATTTAATATCGCTTTTGCCTCACTTAGCGTATATCTCTTATAATCTTACACCCCTTCGCCCCCAAGCGTTAATATGTATAAATGTAACATAGTGGATATTGTTTCTTCTTGAGAGCTGTTAGATGACTAACAAGTTAAGTTTATTTCCAATCATTTCGGTCCGCCTAGTATCGTTCTGTCCGCCTGTCAGATGCGTTTAGACCTCTCGTCCATATTAAACCGCCAACCCTTAGTACATAGCCCCGGGTACGGTATAAGTTCTTTTTGATATCTGCTAATTAATTAACAGATAATTAACCTTTAGTTTATTTCCATTCATTCAGGTCCGTCTTCTCTTGTTGTTTTTTGTGTTCCAGACGCGTTACAGCCTCTCATCAACATCAGTCAATTTGCCAATAAATTCAAACTAACAAACTAAACTAACCTCACCCTCATTACATCTCTTATAGTTTATAGACCTTCCTCCCCAAGCGATGATTTTAATGTGCAATAGCATACCGTGTATTTTATTCTTGAGGTCTGCATGCTGGTTAAACTGGGATTGGGCCGTATCCGATCATTTTGGTCCACTTAGTCCCGCTGTTTTGGCCTGCGTTTCGACCTCTTGCCTTCATTAGAAAATTTTGCTAATGAATTCATCATTCATTCATAAATTCACCATCAAATAGCGCCATACCTAATCCTGCTAATAAACCTAATCGTCTTATACCCCTCTTCCAAAGCGTTAGTAAGTCTAAATCTAGCATAACCTGAAATTTTAGATTGCTCGTTTTCTGTGAGATGATTAACCTACAATTTATTTCCTTTAGATAGCCCCAAAGGTAGATTTAAATTTTACATAGCCGGACATTGTGTGACTTCTCCTTGATTAAGCGTTAAGTGTTTCACATAAACATGGATAAGAACGACAGTCTGGCTTCGAGGTGGTCATAAATGGGCCATTGACCTCGGCGGCAAACCCGATTATTCCACAAACTTATCTCAGACATAAATGGCGAGACTGGGCGGACCAGGAAACTACCCAACTATAGTTTCATCCACCTGCGGACCTGAAAAAAAAATGTCACAATAGAATCAATTTCAACTGTACGACATGACGACTTGTAACGTCTTCACATTTCATTTCTTAGTCAGCTTTGGATAAACTTCCGTGATTCCGGGCATGGATTTTACCAGCATGAATAGGAAGCGAACTTTTCAATTTGAGTCAATGATCAATGATCGTAGCTCGAAGGGTTCAATGAATCCTGGTGTAAGTAAGTACATTGCGTGTTGTGATAGAAGCTTGCACGTTCTCCTCTCTGCTTTATAAAAGACTGTTAAGACAAAACACCCGATCGACATTGCATGATGCATGGTTTGGAACAGTGTACGTTTTTAATTTTGCCCTTCTTTTTTTGTTGTCTGCTTCTAGATTTAGATATGACAACAACAAAAACGTTCAGTTTGTTAAATAAATTAAGATATTGAATTAGACAAATTCATATGATTCTAATTTTGATTTCAGCATCCACTTTCTTGGCAAGTTAGCAAGGACAATTCGAGTATAATAGGTCACATGATCCTGAAGAAGAGTATGAGGGATAGCGCTGGACATTCATCTAGTGCTGCCATCCTCGGTTTAAAAGTTGTCGGGGGAAAACTGTTAGAAAACGGCGGACGAGGGGCGCTTATAGAAAAAGTTAAAAAAGGGAGCACTGCGGATATCGAAGGCCAGCTAAGGCCTGGTATGGATAATCTTGATTAATCCAAGCTTTCTGTCATTTTCCTTCTGTAGCTTTTTCTTTTCTTTTTTGTGTCTGTCTTGCAGCTTTTGCTCACAGTTACGAAAATCAGACACTTCTTTCAAGTCGAATCAAACTGGAAATTTTAATGCTTAAACTTATTTAACATTTTATAACGTTGGTAATATAATCTTACACTCGAATGTTAATTATCCATACGTAGATTTTTTCCTTATTTTGTTTAGTTGTTATGATCAATAATTTACATGTACATACTTTTGATTACGGCTCGGAGATGCAAATTTTCCCACCTTTCTAAATTTTTTTCAGCGTCACGAAGAACATCAACAACCACAAACCATAGCACAACCACCATTGCACCTTTTACGAACAAAAGTGATTAAGAATTATAAACTATTTTTATATAATTTGTGTATTTACAGTTCGTGTATGTACACAACAAATCACTACACATAAAAAATTTATTATAACCCTTGCCTATTTTTTCAAAATATAAACTAGTCAGTTTTATCCATGAAATTAGGTCGTTAGCGATCATTTTGGCTATATTCTCATATCCTCAGGCTGTCAGAAATATTACGGCATTTTGCCATCTTCAGTGTTTCTTTGGGCAAAAAGCCTTCCTTAAGAAAGTCTCGCCTAAACTTCCTAAAAGATCTGCTGCATCAAGCCCGAGCAAAACTCAGCTCTGCTAGCTGAACATTGCCGACTGTAACTGCTAATTGAACACAGACTCACAAAAGGTGCACTCATAAAAAAGAAAAACATAATGGCGCTACCTTCGCCATCTGAGTCAGGTTTATAATAAAGATGAGCATCGTAAAGAAGAAACACTAAAGATGGCGAAATTACGAACGCGTCTGACAGAACAAACCCAGCGAGGATAGACAGACCATAATGATGTGCAACAACCAAATATTGAAATAATCAAATATAGTTTAATAAAAAGAAAATACGTCTTGCCCCGCTTTCTGCTTGCATGGTACGTTAAAATGAGATTGTTTATGCTTATCCGCAATAGTGGGTTGAAGATAAGCATTAAATTGACTGGTAGGCATAAGAGACCAATTAAACAATGAGGCAGAATTTGTCTACTTTTTTATTTCAATAATCCGTCACAAGCTCAGATTGAGACGTATCAGGCAGTCTTGGGATAATTCAAAGTTTGAACTCTATCGCAAGATCAAAAAGCTACTCCTTTAAAAAAATTAAATTGTACTACATTATACAGTATTGTCAAAATTTCCAACAAGAAAGTACTAATATTCGTTTTTAAAAACGCAATTCGATTAAAATAATGAGAACGTCTCAAAGCTCGGATATTTCATTCATGTCTTCAGCTCAGCCGAAAGCTTGGAGAATAATTTGAATTTTGGAATACACGAGGAAGTAACAAGACATAACAACAAGTTCCCAGCCAAGCTCTAACTATTTCTAACTCCTGAAAAGAGTCGAGCGTTGTACTGGTGAAAAAGAATTCCCTTGCGATCGCTGTGTATCTTTTCATCATAGACTGTTAGTTTTTGAGAATGATAATTCGAGAAATTCGCCGGATTCCTTCCTCGGCGAGTCGCTGAATCCACAGTCTCCCAGCTTGTGCTCGTCCAACAAAACGTGTCAACGATACTGCTCTCCACGGTTATCGTGCAGACCCGAGGACCTTCCGGCACCGTACATGATTCGCGTTTCTTGTCGGATCTGAAGCTTCAGTCGTGGATTTTGGGGGTTTCAAAAATTCAACCCGAGGGAGCCACCCTCAAAACTCTGCATGTTTGATTCTCGAGATTCCTTTGTTATTCAGCCATTTGTTGTTGATCGCTTTATTAATTACCTCTAATTACCGTCGGCATCATCTTGGAATATCTACAATATTTGCTATTGGCAGACCAAGATTTTCACTCCCGTACCGATCGATGGTATTTTACGTACCGAGTTGTTTCTGTACATAAAATACATAATGGCGGGGGAAGCTTGTGGACACCCACATTGTAATAATTAATTTCTACTCGTGGAAGAAAATGAAACATTTTTGACTAAATTATCGACGCCGGTTGAAATTCTTTTCGAAAGATTTTGGAAAATTGAAAATGTACCCAACCCACCAGCACCATTTTTACATCCCGACAATGAGGAATGTGAATAACAGTTACCGCCCAAAGAGATGAGGGCGGAAGATGTGGTTCTCCGTTCTGAAAGATTCTGAGCCTCTGGGAAATTCCGTTCAAAATCCTCGAACCAGGCTTTTGAAGTTAGAAAGACTTAAACACGGTTGGAAGCGTCCGATATATTAAGCAGGGACATATGGCGGAGATTTCTGGGGTGGACGGTTTCCAGCTAAAGGGATTCCCCAAGACGCAGTGTTCAAACCGCAAAATCCGTCTACCCCTGTGCGAGCTGCCAGTCGATAATTAACAGTTTGGTTAGGCGGGAGAAGTTCATAATAAACCATTATCTTCCAATCCCCCCCCCCTAATAGCCATTACCTTCTTTGGAATCCATCTTTTGACTATCCACCTTCATAGTTGATCGTGGGTGCTGGTCCAGTCTCGGCTTAGCGCCATCTTCAATGAGGAACTCTCGCGAGCAAAGACGTACCGAATAAATGACCCAGTAGAGGTTCAGCAAACGTTGGACGTTAAAGATCATGTGGGTTTTGGTCTGCGAGTCAAGATGATGAACTCTCGCGAGTCTAGATAGTCCCACTAAGTTGACCTAGTTCAGTTGAAGCGGCACACGGCCACTTACTGGGTCTGCTTGATAATAGCCTGTTGTTGTTGTTGTTTTTTATTATGGACGTAATTATTCGGTTAATTGTTTCTGAACAATGACTAAAGTTAACGATCAACTTTTGTTGAACCTGAACTAGGTCGCAGTAGAAGATGAGTTTTGGTCGGCGAGTTGGTGAACTTATGTTGAACCGGCACACGGCCGCTTACTGGGTCTGTCTCCACTAGCGGGTTTTTTTATTTGAATTATTAAAACGCGTTTCGGCATTGCAGGAACTGTTCCTCACTGAAGATTGCGCAAAAGTTATCAAATAAAATTATTTTTAAAAAAGCTACGCACTTATTTGGCAAGGCATTATTTGTCTAAAATGCTTAAATTTTAACTAACTATGCGATATATTTTGTGGGCAGCGATGGACCCCCATTAAGTACCTCCTGTCACCTATGTGTCATGAGGTACTGGGCACCACTGAATTTTATACTGTAACGTGTTCCTACCCAACTATATTCACTTTTTTTTATTTTGAAATACAATAATTTTAAAAAAAGCCACGAGAAATTTGGAAAAAAACGGAAATCACAATGACTCTTTCTAACTCGATGCACTGTATGAAATAACTGCTTTATTTGCACAGGCTTGATACACTCCAGTAAGAAATTTTAAATTTGAATAATTAAATTTGTTTTTTTCATTTTAGGAGACGAAGTCCTCGAGTGGAACGGGAGATCGCTTAAAGGGAAAAGCTTCCAAGAAGTTTACGATATAATCGCTGAAAGCAAGCAAGAGCCGCAAGTGGAATTGATAGTGTCGAGAGCGTTGGGGGTCCGACACCCTCGCCTTCCTTACATCCACCCGTCAAAGGGTAAGTCCCCTAAGTCCCAGTGACTCCTCAAGCCCTCTCACTACTTCTGTCCATCTGTTCATCCCGTAGATCTTGAAATTAAATCTCTCTCTCGTTCGTTTCGAATCGATTCGTACCACGAGTGATTTATTTTTGTGTATTTTTTATAATTAATTTTAATGAGTATAGAACAACGCAAGATAATTTAAAAAAAAACGCTTCTTCAAAACATTAATGGGTGGCCTGAATAAAATTATGTACATAAATTTTTAAACAAAATTAATATGTCTGTTTTGTTATTGTAACAAATGAAAGTATGTTTGTGTATAATATTTTGTTGTGTGTGTTGTTGCAGGTTTTGCTTTCTGTAAGGGTCGCATAGAATATTGTGCTTTCTGCAAATAAAATTCCCCGCTATAATAAAAGTTTGAATAGAAAAAAAATCACAGTGTGTAATGTTTATGTTATACTTTGTTTCTGATTGATGATGGGTGTATGTCGTAATTCCCGGACTGATTCTTCCCCCCACGTTATAGTATTTAGTATGTTGTAGTGGCTTGTTAGTCTTTAAGAGACATATTTCGATCCAACTCGAAAAGAGGAAACACCAATTTATCAACAGAGCAGACATTGTTACTTCAAAAATTATTACTGTTTATTTTTTAATCGAAGAAACCGTGTCAATTTAGTTAGATGTACACTTTAGTTGTATATTTATAAGCTTTTTGAACATTCGTTTTATTTGAAGGAAAAAATTGACATATGCACCCTATGCGAGTATAGAATTAGCAGTTGAAATATTTAAAAAACCTCTCTATTAGATTTATATAATTCACTGATAACCTCATCGGCACGAGTCTTAACTAATTAATGAGAGATTTGTCTGTGCAGATGTTTACGACGTGAGGAAGGACAAACCGAGTGTTCTGGTTACGTCCCCCGGCTCCCCTGACCTCCATGGTCAACACAACACCCGGCTGAGAAGCCATCACAGGATGAACACTGCGGCAAACGTGAACGTCGGAGGCCGGATACAGGTAACAACGTAGGCAAGGGGATCGAAGAAAATCTCTGACCAATACTGTTTCAGGTGAAACTGTACTTCGACTCTGCGGCGTTGCAGCTGCTGGTCACGCTGGTCTGTGCCGCAGGACTAATGCCCCGTAGCAACGGCACGCCCAGGAATCCGTACGCCAAGCTCTTCCTCCTTCCAGACCGAAGGTACTCGTTATTCACGAACCTTGTTGAACACGGCAGACTAAATTGAACTTTTTTCCAGCGAAAAGTCGAAGAGGAGAACGAAGACACTGGCCAACACTAACGATCCTAAGTGGAACCAGAACTTTGTTTATACTTCGCTGAGAAAAGCGGACTTGAAACTGAGGATAGTGGAAATCACTGTCTGGGATTATGTTAGATATGGTGCTAATGCTTTTCTGGGAGAGGTATGTGATAATCCTTACATGTTTTCGTGTGTGGATGCTAAATAACTGAATGTAGGTATACTTTAGTGTGCCACTTGTAGTGTGGTGTCCAACCACTAGTGGTCCTTCCAGAATTTCACAATTCTTTTCAGTTTTTATTTATATCAAACTTTCACTTGATTTGAAATAACTTTGAGGTTCTTGTTTTCGACTTCTTCTACTTCCAGATAGATTAATTAAGTTTGCCATGAGCCTAATTATACCTTGAGGTTGATGCCCTCAAGGATCTTCAGGTCTTTCATCAAATCAATCACGGACTTCGCAGAAAATGATTGTGTGGTTTAGATTCTCTACCATCTCGGACGAATCATCACCAGATATTGATGGCTTTGCTGCAAAAGAGATTTTGATCCGATTATTATTAAAGATTATGCTCTTTTTGTATCTGATGGTTCTGCTCACAGATTCGTTGTTTACAACGATCTAGAGTTCAAGCATTAAATGCTCATCATCAGGTTGAAGGATTTACAAACACGTCTCTACATAAATTGTAAGAGTGAACCCGTCCATCCACTGGCTGGTTTTAATACAGCTCAATTTGGAACATGTGAAAAACGTGAATTACAGCACAACTAACGATTAACAATTAAAACAATTAAACATGGGGATATATGCATAAATAATATTATAAATATTATATTAATATATATAATATATATATATTATTATTTTATCCCATCTAAAAACCTTAATTAATTGTAATATATTAATTGGTCAAGCGGACCACGAAATTAGTGAATTTAATATTATAAATTTTGATTTACCTCATAATTTAAACATATACCAAAATAATACTTGGCATACAAATTAATCACTTATTTAAAATTATTTACTTAGAGTATTTCTTAAGATAATATTTAGTGTTTTGTTGTTTTTCTGGAGGTAGAGGGTTTGCCTGAATCCAAACCATTCAGAAGTACCGGGATATTAACATTGTCTCCAATGAGAAGGACACGTTCATGTTGACTATTTCTTGAAATACCCTCTTGTATAATGTCACGATCAGTCTTTTCAGCTACAGCCACTGCAACGCCTAAATGCATCACGAATAATGAGATGATACGCTTGTTGTTGTATTCATTGGCTAATGCAGGCGCACTTGAATTACTGTAGAATCTTCAAACTGAATGTCTTTGAAGGAGTGGGCAGTAGTTAGTCTCATTCGCCCCGTACTTTTGCTGGCTGCCTCCTCAGGGTAACCGCGAAAAACAACAGTCGCGTTATGACCAAAGTATTGGAAATTTACGTATACGAGGCAACGTTCCAATGAGAAGCTGGTTTTTGATGCTGCCCAATTTTGAACGTGCGAAAAAATTTTAAGTTTATAAAGTCAAGCAAAAACCCAAGGCACATTGTCCTCATCACCAGTAAAAACTGGGAGATCATGCTTACGCAAGATTGCGGATACCGTAAAGCAAATCGTGTACTTTTTTAAGACACCGGGATGATGATCCTATGGTCGTTTCCGATCATTCTGGTCCGCCTGGTTTCACCGTTTTGGTCTTTGAGTTCAATTTTAGTTCAACTGCTTACAAAATGAAGTAATTGAAATACACCACTGAAGATGACAAAAAATAGACAAATTTTATTGCTAAGTAGATTTTCCACAGTCTCCTGCTGAACAGCCAAGTTATTCTGCAAAGCGACACCAAGATCGGTTACCTAAAGATCAATCATGCCATTAACATCGTCATAAAGTTGAAATTTTATACAAAACCTACGTATTCCTGTCTGAAGGAGGACCAGTAATAAAAAGAGCGAGATTATTTGTATCCAAGGTTGTGCATATGAATCGCTAGCTAAATCGTGTGTTTCTTTTTAAGAACAACGGAGTGATGAACCTTAATTTTGATCGTACCCAATCATCTTCGTCTGCCTGTTAACATGTTTAGGTCTGTGTGTTCTATTTTAGTTTAACTGATTAAAATTGAAGTTATTGGTTAAACCAAAACAGCGAGGATTGTCGCGGCAGGATGATTGGAAACGATCAAACTACAAATTAACCTATCGTATTATTAATTATTTGATTTTTAGTCTCTTTATTTCAGAATAGATCAAGTCGGTACTATGAATAGAACAATTTGCTTATTAATTATTTATTTTTAGGTGCTTATTGAGCTAAGCGTCGCTCTCCTTGGTAATGAACCAGAATGGTTTCATCTAAGCGCGCATGAGGACATCATGCATCCCGTAAGTAATTGTGATTAATGAGCTTTCTTTTAATAAAAATAGTAATTAGAATATTAAAACGTTGAATATACTTGAAGTTATTTAGAGGGAAAATGAGTAATAAAACTAGACAAATTAAATAAATGGGGGTAACAAGATTTTTTTGATTGTAGACTGAAGGAGCCAATTTAGACAAGCTCTTTTTTCTAACTCGTAATCTGTACATCGAAAATTACTGCAACGTAAGTAATTAGCGTTGTGTTGAAAATAAAGGAAAAGTGTTAGTTGACACTGATCTTAGCAGTATTAAACTTGAAAATTGTGAATTATTAGTCGAACTGAATGTCGTAAGAGTAGACGGTCTTGAAGTAATTTTAGATAGGCGGTAGAAAGTTGAATTAGCGACCACCTGTAACGTTGGTTTTTAATTGAAACCGCTTATAAATTAATGTGTGTAAGTGCAAAACATTAGTTTAAATTTTGGAAAGAATTTTATTTAAGTAGGAAATGATAATGGTTCGGCGGATTGGATAAAAGACACTATTAGGCCGAGAGTCTGTATTAGGGTTTCCAAACTAAATAGCCATGTTGGAATTTTGTTTTTCAAACCGTTTCATGGATTTTAGGGCATGGAGATTGAAAGGGATTTGGACCTTGCCTTAACTCCGACAGATCATCTTTCGCCTAGTACGACGTCCCGCCATTCCGATTCGGATCCAAGCGACCTCGACGACTCGAGGGAACGGAGGGTCGCCGATGGTGCTTCCATTTCATCCGTCGGCAGCTCAAATAGGTGAGACATCGCATAAAACTAAAATGAAGTATAATAAAGAAAGAATGATTTAATGCCGTTTTTCCAATTCTAAATAGTAAGCAACTTTATCACTAATAGATGTCTTTACAGTCCACCTCCTGACATAGAAATGACCGAAAAAAGGAAATCGCGTAGGGACATGTCTCCACAGGGAAGAAAAGGCCTTATAATGCCTTTTCGAGAACCGATTATTGACCCTCATCGAAAGGTAAAGGTCTTTAATTACTATTGTTTTAATTTAGTATTGAATTAAACTTTGTTTAAACTTTAAATGAAGGTAACGATAAACCAGAGGTCTCATTCTGCAGCGCCGACTGATTCGCCCAGTATTCTCAACCGCTCGAGGTCGAAAAGCCCTCATCGAAGCCTTTCTCCCCCTCCAGAATACAGGTTTCGAAATTTCATTTAGTCTAATTTATCATATTTTTATACTTATTTTTAAAGGGTGCAAAGCGGTGTGGTTCTGCCCTCTCATGCTTATGTGCCGAGGTTCACGTCTCGCTCAGCGACCGCCACTCCGATAACATCGCCCAAAAAGAGGCAACTGCCACAAATTCCACCTCACCTCACCAGCCATAGTCCACATCACGTGTACGCAGAAAGGGCTCCCGCACACGTACGTTCACCGGTAACTCTTGTAACCTCCCCCACAAGAAAACGTATGTAATCGCATTTCTGTAATATCAGGAGCTGGACGAAAGGACCCAATACTTGAAGCAGAGGATCAGACAGCCGCACCAACACCAGCAGCCGCAGCAGCGCGGAAAGGGTATACAAGAGGGTAAGCCTTCACGGGCCGGCTCACAAACGATTCGATTTTCAGGCTGGAACAGGCACCACATGACCGGCCTTTCGGATAGCGACTTGACCCAGAATGAACCTCGTCGCAGGTCGCCGCCCGACAAAGAGCCCGGCGACCCTTGCGACAGCGACATGGAGAGTGTGGCTAGCATAACAAGCAGTGCCTTTTCAACACAGAGCGAGAGGCCGAGAGGCTCAAGAGGATTCAGGTCCGTAAATTTTACATTTTATAATCGAGGTATATACAATTGTAAACCAATAGAAAACTAAGCGATTCGTTTCAGTGATTACGGCGGACCAACACTACCTCATAACGTGGGTGAACCTCAGACGAAGAGGGCGCCTTTTTCTCGAAGTTTATCCAACGCGGACGTCCCGGCTGAAGAAAGAGGAGGTAAATACCAAAAAACCGTTCAAAACTTGCACACAAACGCTTTCCCCCCCCTACGCGTAAACCCGCCTTTTCAACATAATCGAATTTTTGTTTGCCACCGACAAACCCATATTGCAACCCCGCTGTAAGTACCTTCAGGCAACGCACCACATCCGAGTACAAGGAGTTGCGAAAGTGTGCCACAATTAAATTTCCTTTTTCTTTTTTCTTCTAGCGAATGAATCGACGGAATACTCTGCTGTTCCAGATGGAAGCCTGAGTGACACCGCCTTGGGTAGGCAGCACATAAGCGGCTCAAGGAGAAAAGCCCCTCCAGGGGGCAGCGCGTCCGCGGCACTTAAGTCGAGTGCAGGAATGGGTAAAAAAAGTAGTTCAACGTCCCAACTCTCCGCAACTGGTAAGTCCCAATTTTACTTACCTCCTTTTTTTACAGTATGATAAAATATATTTAAAAAAATAGCTTAGTCTTTAAGATTTCTCAAACACCAAAACATGTATTTTAACGCCTCACGCACTGGGTTTTCTCTTCCAAGGATGCCTACGACTTTGTATTTTTCTTTGATGCAAGGGAAAATACATCGTAGACATTCAATCAACAGATAAAAGCCAACTTCAAAAAAGTTTTTTTTCTCGATTTTATCAAGAAGACTATAATTCGTACGAAAGATTGGCTCAGAAAAATCTTGGAGAGAGATCACTCGATTGCAATAATCAAAGTCAAAATTTAAAATGTTAATATTATTCTTTTCCACACGCCTCCGACATATTTTTTTCTAAAGACACTTTGCACCACCGTCCATTAGTCATTTATAAACTTTTTGACCAGAAAAGAACTATTCTGTAGCACCTAACTGGAAGTTTTTGACGTTAAAATCACGTCCTGGAGGTCCCGAGCCTAGACCCAAAAAAATTGATAGTTTCAATTTCTTCAACAATCTCTTTTACGTGTATACAAGAAGAGAGATTGATGTTTTTTTAAATCATAATAATTTTTATTAACTCTGACCTAGAATATAGATTTTTGGCAAAAGCAATTTGTAATACAGTGTAAATACAACTTTTCTAAATTTACCTTTGTAGAAAGTGCAAGTGCATTTGAAATAATCGTGAATTGAACGATTAAAAACATATAAAAAAATTAGACTTTATAATTGAAGGGAAATTAACTAGGGGTACAAACAAAAGTAAGTGCATGTGTCTTTTGTTTGGCGTTTTTATAAATGTGTATGGTAATTTAAAACGTCTTAATTTGAAAGATATTTTACTTGGTACTGTTTTTTTTTCTTTACTATATAATGTGTATAATTGATTTTATTAAATTACTATTAGTGGTTCAGGCACGCTTTTGATTTTTTTAAAATATATAAACCGTTAATATTCAGTATTTTGTTTTTTCTGTAGATCGGTGATTAGATTTTAATTATTAGTACATATTACTCTTCTATAATATTGTACGTGTACCTCGTATTTTGTCGGGTGTAACGACACTAGTGCAAAACTGCTCTGTTTCGCTGGAATTTGTTTCATACCTTGCAGCAACCTTTTTCACACTCTACGGTGATTTTGTGTTATGCAAAGAAAACAAAAAATCGCAATTAAAACATAAATTAAAGCAGCTATAAATCAAGCAATAACAGCAAAAGAAACCATCTAAATCTATTGAAGGATAATTAACAAAACAAAACCATACGAGAATATAGCTAGGATCACAGTTTCTCGAGGATTTTGACTCCAAGACATCGATTATCCTATTCTATTATAGTTCAAATATAATTTAGATATAATATTAAGATATAATATATAATTTAGATATAATTCTAATATAATTTAAATGTAATCTATATTATAATATAGATTATCCTATTCTATTATTATTATATTATAGTTCAAATATAACTAAATCTTTGATTGGCAATGTTTTTTTGGTTTGCCTATCCTTGCTCTTTTGTTATCAGAGTTTCTACTTTTCATCATGTCAACGCCTCGACCTGCTTACTTCCCTGTCACATTAGATATCGCAATGCGATCTGCAGACTAAATCTGCTAGATCATTAATATGTCAATTTTTCTGTCTTCTCAAATTATATTTTGAATTTTCCCTTGGGGGTATCGGTTGTCAACCTGTAGACTGGTTATTTTCGGTCATTTTGGACCGCCTAGTCGCTGTTTTGCTCTTTAAGCGACGTTTGTGTTCTACACCATATTCAGCGGTGAGTTTGTATTAGCACCTAGACCTGCTTATAACCCTGACATACTAAATGGTGAACAAAACTGCTAGAATAAACAGACCAATTGATCTGAAATGAATTAATTTATCAACCAATTTTATTATTCTTTCAGCGATTATCAACTCGAAAGAGTTTTTATTGCAAAACATCAGGCTTTTCAAATAATATTTTAAGCTTAAAATTTTATCTTTGGGTCGTTTCAGTCGTTTTGAACCGCCTATTCTCGCGGATTTCCTCTGTCAGAAATGTTTCGGCTAATCGACATCGTCAGCGCGTTTTTTGGGTCGGCGCTTATAACTGCTTATAACTCTGACACTCTAGATGGCACGTGTGCCGTAGTCCAAAACCGCAAGAATAATCATTCCTAAATGATTCCAAACTAATTAGTTTCGGCTAATCATTCTTCTATCAATCCTCAAAGTTGACATTGTTTTTATGGCAATGATAAATCTATTTTCTGGCTTTTCAAATAATACTCGAAGTGTTTTTTCTCTTGTGATTGTGTGGCAGACCTAAACCGTGAGTTTATCTATGCCCAAATGATCGATCGGAAACTAATTAATTTATCAGCTTATCTTATTATAATTTTATCAATTTTTAAGTCTAATCACTTTTTTTTTCTTGAGGGGGCAATAACATATCCATACTCTGCCTTTTCAAATAATATTTTAAGCGTGAGATTTCCTCTTGGGGTCTGCGAGGAGGTAAACCCGTAGGTTGGTCGTTTCCGATCATTTTGGCAGACCTAATCTCACTGTTTTGTCCTACATTTTTTCTTCATGTACAGCAATGTATGTGAGATATAAGGAGGTCAAGGCGACGATACAGACAAGGGGAGAAACTGAAACTCGTCTGACAGATCAAAATGATTTGAAAACCCATGTTTCAAACTGATTAATGATATGGAATTAATACAGAATAAGGTCAACTGTAGATTGGCAGTGTTCCTAAACTGTCACACCAAAACACTCAAAATAACAAATACAATGTAAATTGCATAATAAATACAAAATCACTGTACGAGCCCAAAATTAGTATGGTTGCAGGTACAAAAATGCAAGACAACATATTTACAGCATGTAAAATTCGAGAATGGCCACAGGCAAAAAGCAGCGTGGATCTTTAGTCGGGTTCGACATGTCACTAGGTCACTGGTGAAATTTTGATTTCAAATAATTAAGCAAGATCTTATCATTGTGAGAGTTAGGGGAAAATGCCAAGCTTTCTCGTAGCCAAAAACAGGCAAAATAGCCAAATAGCCCCCCTGTTTGAAATTTATGGGGAGAGCCGGCCATTCATGTGTGAACGATTGCGCAGGTCGGAAACGTAGGTTAGGTTTTGGAACAAAGGGTAAATCGTCGTTCACCGTTCACCGAAGTGAGGAAGTTCTGCCGGACGACATCAGGCACCTAGTGAAACAAGGCTCTTCTGTCTCGAGTGACGGAGAAGGTTCCCAAGAAGGAGACAGGTTCATACATAAATTAATCTGCTTCCATAGATGCCTATTTTATTTTTGATTCATTTTTATTATTTAGTTATTAAAGACAATTCTTTAATTTTATCAATAATTGTTTTTTTTATTTTTTTATTTTTTTTTATTTTGTTGATTAAATAAATTATAATTTTCCATTTTTTTACAAGCAATTTTAAAAATTTGATCACACTTTTTTAAATATTTTTATTTTATTTTTGGTTTTGTATTGAAACAAAACAAAAATTTTTCATTGATTAGATTTAGTATTTATGGTTGCAGAGTGAACACCAATTAAGCAAAGCAACGTTTATTATTTTACATTTTAAAAAATATTAATTTTATAATTAATTATTTGTAAGGGCTCATCTTCATACGTATAAGCTGAGACTGTTGGTAGTCAAAAACAAGGCAAACTTATTCCAAAAAGAGAAAAAAGACCTAAGAAAACGAATTCGGTTAAATGTCCCCGAGATGGCGAAGACGAGTTGTAAATAATTCAAACATATTATTTATTTTTTCTGTTTTGTTTTAGTTATTACATGAGTGTTGTTGAATAAGTCATGACCGTTGGTACACTGGATGTGCTCGATGTCGCAATTGCTCTATTTGTTGTTTCTACCATGTTTGTGGTGTTGTTTATTTTGTATATTTGAGTTAAAATTGTACAAATATTATATACATTTTTATACTAATTTTATTATTATAATTTTCTTGACATTATAGCGTAATTGAAGAGTATAGATTTTGGAATGTATTCATAGTTGCTTTGCAGACTGTCCAATAGTGATATTTCCAATTTATTAACATTATTGACAAAAAATTATGTATAAGTGACAAAATACTATGAATACAGTGCTTGTGGCATGCTTGTATTGATTAGTAAGTTATTGATAACGATTACACTAGTGCTTTCGTTAGGTAGTTGAGTAAAAAAAAACAATAGTCAACTATTTGGCAACACAGAGTGGCGCAGGTAGAAGTAAACCAAATAAGTAAAACAAATAATAACAATTATTTTATTTTACTAACTCGTAGATTGAGCTGAAGACCAACAGACAGAGTTTAAAAGGGTCACTACTTATATAATAAAAATATTTTTTTCTCAAACTTTAATTCTTTCTTGATATTGTGATATAAATAAAAAATAAAACCGATCGCTGGAGATATCTTAAATAATTTTTTGAAAAGTGAAAAGTACGACGATTCAAGGAATGCTTAGATCTCACTAATAACATATTTGCCAAAATTTGTTTGTATATAATATTACAAAATTTTTTTTCAATAAAACACTTAAAATGGTAAAAATATTATTTACAATTAATCAATAACAATTAACAAATAGGGGTCGTCCGTGGCAGACGGTTAGAGCGTTGACTCACTTTGAAGGTGCCGGGTTCGATTCTCTGCGGTCGTAAATTCTATTCCTGAATACTACTTGAAAAAAGACATTTTCTGTTGCAAACCACTTGAAAAAATATGATTGTTTTCTTTCATTGTTCTGTGTCCCCACAGAAGAGAAATCTTTAGAGAAATCACTAGGCCTTTTTTACTTCTTTTTTTTTTACTTTTCTTTAACTGGGAACATAGTGCATAGTGACTCTGAATCAAACATTACAATAAAATTATGCTAAAATTTGGTGAAATCAATAGCTTTAGCGCGTCCCGAACCGCATTTTGTTCATTGATTCTTGTCAATGTCAAATGTTCAAATTTTCACCTAGTCGGAAAATCATGCCTATCATAGCCTATTCTTTGCCCAGCGGAACAGGATTTACTGGCTGGATGTACATTATAAAGCAAAAAAGAGGGATTTTTCAGTTTTTCCTGAAAAAACACGTTTTTGTCCGCTACAGTGCACTTTTCCCAGGATTTAATTAACTTAATTTGAGTTCTATTTTTATAATTATTCACCAATGCGTGTATACATATGTATATATATTTTTTTTTAATTTATATATTTATTTATATTTATTTATAAACTACATTTTTCAAAAAATAAAATTTAAAAATTCAAACAGAGCAAGTGGCCTGAAAAACGTTAAAAAAACGTTTGAACAAAATTTCATCAAATTCCGATTCGGTAAATTTTGTTACCGAAAGGTAGTTGTACCGAAAGGAGGTTCACAGATAAGGTCGAAGTAGTGACCCCTTAACTCAGTCATCCGCTTCAAAAAGCTTTACAATTTTTTTACCCTTTTTTTAGCTTTATACCGTTCAGCCGAAATTGCAATAATTTTAAAGCTTTTTTTTAATAACTATTTTGAAGTCTGCGGGTGATGAACCGGTAGTCTGTCGTTGGAAATATTGGGAATGGCAGAAGATAGCCTGTGTTGTTTCCGCCAAGAAGAATGGAAAACCGCAGTCACATACCTCACGAAGTATACTGAAGAGTTTAAAAAACCTTGAAGCTAGATAAGTCGGATCAACAAACCTGGCTGATATGATCAGTAGCTTGTGCCACACCCTGCTTATAACCCTGACCCGCCATCGTTGATAGGGAACAGTCGAAACGCATCGTACAGTCCAAAGTGATTCGATCAATTTCCAAGAGAAGAATTTTGAGAGTAAAATGAATGATCAAATCTGTCTTCTGGCTGTTTATCCCGTCAGTTTTTAGTCCTTACAAATTGACTCCTATTTTTTAGAAATGTTCGTATGTGATTCTCTTTGAATTGCGGAGTGGTGTATACCACTCCTCTCCGATCATTTTTGGTCTGCCCATTTTCTCTGTTTTGATCTGCCTTTTCGCCATATTCAGTGGTGGGTTATTGCACATCATACATGCAAAATGTTGCAATTCCATCATCAGAGCGTGAAATAGCGTTACATTGTTAGTATTTTTTTCGTATCAAATGGTATAAACCGCGGTTGCTTTAAGTATACTATTACCATGTCTGCTAGGTGCTTCAGTTTTAACTGTATAAGTCATCGTCTTTGACGATTCTTCTTTTATACTACAAACATAGCAAATCCATATGTAAGGCACAGCAGTAATATGAAAGATTCTAACCTGTACACTACACTTGGTAACCTCCACTCGTTGTGAAGTGATGGCTGGAACTGTAAAACGTAGCATACATCTATATCGCAACGATGTCCCGATACGATGTTGAGTTGCGTTACGCTACGCTGTTGCATGTACCGAGTGAATAGGGAGTCGCAGCCCCTATAAGGTTGAAGGTTGAACGGAATCGGCCGATGTACGACCTTGCGCACCACGACCAATATTGGTTTATTGCGCAATATTCATCATTATCTAGAACAATTCGTTAAACTTAAGAATTTTTACCAGATCTTAAAGCTTTGTTAATGGCTTCTTTGTGTATCCTTCAGACTGAGATCCTCTCCCAGGAGTGGGATATCCAGCGTGCATAGGTTTGAGAGCCAGCAGGGGAAACGTTCCACTGTTTCTTCTTCTTCCTGGCAATATCTGAACAAGTTTGTTTCTGCTGCTCTGGTTCATTTGCCCCAGAGGCATCAGCCATACTATTAGTCTAATCCTAGCATCCTAGGTTTAGTAGTTCACACGGTATTTTCCGCGATGGTCCTTTGATGAAATTTGTCTGGGTGAACTCCGTTTTTGTCAGTTTGGTACGCCATAAAAAGGTTCAGGGCGATTAAGTGATTCCAAAATAAAAAAGCGGAGGTTGAGAAATCCTGTTTTATCCTTTCTTACCATATCCATAGTTAAATTTTTAAAATATCACAAAAGAGAACATCAGGACAAATATATCGGACATACAGGACGAAAAAATAAGACAGAAAGAACATAACATTTTTTAGGGACAATGATGAAAAATAAAAGTACTGACTTACCTCATAGAAAACTATCACGAACTCTCAAAAATACGGAAACTACAATACGAAACCTAGGAATTTTAACACTGAAAAAACTGATAAACACAAATTAACAACAGTTTAAAATTCAAAGCGCTGTACCAATTAAAAAGAAAAGGACGATCACAAAGACCGACCGGAACATTCCAAAAAGCACAGACTTTATACAAGAAAGTCATCGAAAAACACGCCTGCTCCACCCCTCTACCTTATAAAAGAAATGATCTCTCGCCCCAGACACACTGAAGACGACGAAATGCCAAAACGCGTCTGACAGACCAACCCAGCGAGTTAGGTAGACCAAGATGATCGATAAGGATCAAAATACTTGAGAATTGGTACTTCGTGGCGTTTCGGCTTTTCGCCAACCTTCAGTGGTGGGTCTCTGTTAGTGCCTCGCCCTGCTTATACCCTTACCGCAAAAATGATCTGATAAGAATTTTATGCTTGTATTTCTAGGCATTTTTATTGGTTATTGTACTTTTTTTATTACATTCTATTAACCAATAAGCTCAATTTACCCATCACCCATCACAAGAATTTCGGAGAACTTGCAAACAATTTACACCAGAAAGAAAATCTTCTGATCTGCGCCACACTGGAAATATTGCTATCAATACATTGGACAATTATTTTTAATTTATTTTTATTTTTTTAATTAACAAATTAGTTTATAACAGAGCTGAAAGTAAATCGAGCGTTAGGCAGTTAACAACCCCCATCCTAGTCCATAGCCTTTTATAACTAGAACTTTTTAAGGCACACAAATTATTATAGTCGTAGTTGAGGTAGAGGTAATTTTTGTAAATACCAAAAAATATGCACATTGTTGATTAAAACGACACGATTTTGTCACTGAGCTTTACACCAAAGACACTTCGAATTTGTAAAACGAAACAGGGGTGGGTTTGTGTTTCATTGTCGACTGAACTTGACGTCCTTACCTGTCATTGAGGAACGTAAGTGTAAAATTGGCCATTCACCGTGCAAACTGACAATAAATCTGAAAATTTAAATTTGCATATTTATTGTCTCTACAAACTTCAAAGGATACTTTGAAGTAGCATGAGTGAAAGCTTTATTTGTTATTTTGTTAAAAAATGGTATTTATGTCAAGATTTGTTTTTATTGTGTAAAACGGAGCGTAAAGCTGGTTGAAAAGGCTAGTGCTTATAATAAGTTTTTGTTTTAAATGAAAATATGTAAGGTGCGCTACATAGAGCTGCTTACATCTACCAAAATGAAGGACATAATTGAAAGTAAAATGCAATTGTTGTTTCTTTGACACAAATTTTTTTAATGTTTATTTAAGTAATTGATAAAAAAAATCTCAAATAGTGAGAAGTATACAACAGATTGCGGAGATATTATCCGGCAATCCAAACTGTATATTTCACATTATTGTTACTAAAAGCGGACAAAAAATTGGTAGTTGGGGCTAGAGTAGAGTAGTTAGTAGTGTGTGTTGGTGCAGAGGGACATGGGAGACGAAGCGGAAGTACGGGAATAATTGGTTTTCATCGCTCTCAAGAAGTACCCAGCCCCCGTCACGGCAGTGTTCACAGCATATCTAGTTCTGAGGCTTCTTCGTAAGTAGTTCGCTTTTGCAATTATTGATGGATCGGCCCGGCCGACGCCTACGGTAAATTTTGCTGGCTGGGCCGATTTTGCCTGTACTTTTTTTTTAAATATATTTTCAATTATAACCTTTTCTATAAATGTTCTCTCACAAATCCCAGCATGATCATGATCGTGTGCAAGATCCTTTCCCGCTCGCGCACACCCCGAGCATGAAGCATGCAGTTTTCTCCTTCAGTTACCTTTCTTTTCTTTTATTTAATTTATTCAGTTTATTATTTTACTCGACAGCATTTACAGAAAACATATCATACATAAACAATTAGAGATCTTTTTTATTTTGATCGATATTTAATATGTGAAACGTTAAAAATCTGTAAGTTAAAGAATTTGCATAAAATTTCTATCGGGTTTGCTGAGTACTTCATCTAACAACGTCCTAATCGGGTCAAAAGAGGAAACACCTTCCACAAGGAAGTATCCTAGGTCCAATCGCCTATACAATCTACACTGCAGACATACACACTCATAACGTATGTACGGCATCGCGATCTTATCTACACTCTCCAATCCTCTCACTCCAAATCTGAACCTCATGACCGACTCGGTGGCGGATCCAGTTGAACAAGCAAAAATCCAACAGGTAACGTTTTCGCTCAAACGTATGACCTGCCCACCATACATCCACGTCCGCTACTTGGGCTTTAATTAGAAAGGAGACTTACATGTAAACATTCAACACTAAGAATACACTTCAATTAATTAACGTTTATAGTTGAGATAAAAAAGTCAGTGTCACGAGCGAGATTCGAACCCACGAAGTTCGGCTAGATAAGCCGCTGCTCTACCACTTGAGCTATCGTGACCTCGATCCACTCGTACACTAACTTCCCATCTCAACCCCACTTTTTGAACTTTCCCTCCTTTTCGCCATTTTTGAAAGCAAGTATACACAATACAAATGAAGTATGCCTTCACGAAAGCTCTCCGTGGCCATTTCATTTGTCGCCGAGAATCAAATAGATTACACGACATTTGAAAAATGGCAAAAAGGAGGGACAATTCAAAAGGTGGGGGTGAGATGGGAAGTTAGTGTCCGAGTGGATCGAGGTCATGATAGCTCAAGTAGTAGAGCAGCGGCGTATCTAGCCGAAGATCGTGGGTTCGAATCCCGCTCGTGACACTGACTTTTTTATCTCAACTAAAAACCTTAATTAATTGTCATGTATTAATTGGTCAAGCGGACCACGAAAACTAGTAAATTTACTAAGAATACATAACAAACTAACCGCTTACAAAACACAACCGATTTGGACTTATGAGTCGGACAAATCATCCAACATCCAACGAATCCAATTTTTCAATCCGACTTCTCTGTATCCTCAACGATACCTTCTACGTCATCAATCAAATGATCCATAAAGACCCTAACATCCCAGGATCGGATCCGAACACGCTTCTTCAATTTCCACTCTAAACTATCCCTCCGCCCTAACTCACAAGCCCAAACTCTTTCCTCAATGCCCCTATCTCATAATCCTCCTCGCCGTTTAAATCGACGATGGCCCTGTGTCCTCCTACATTAACCCTTCCAACTATTTAAAAAAGAGTTCCAGCACTGGCTGGTTTCTCTCCCTACTACCTCCTGGTCTGACAGATCTGTCAGATTTTTACATAATTATCTACACTATACGCTCAGTGCATATTTCCTACAGATAGAAATAATTTTTTTAAAAATTACTAATAAATACAGATTTTAACACGTTTGCAATTTATTAAAATTTTAAAATGTTTGAACGAAGCCCTTGGTGCGATTGTAATTGTTCGTGGATATTTGCCAATTGTTTACATAGTGTTTTTGAATTTTTTATATAGAAAATCATAAACAAGGTTGTTACAAATCATACTCGAACAGACGAGTAATGTTTTAAAAATCAAGATTTTAACTCTATGTTTTTTTCACTCATAACAACACACAGACTGAATTCTTCAGCTCTTTGTTTCAATCTATTTTAGCTTTCTAGTGTGATAAGGATTCGAATATAGTTTTATTTATTCAATGTATTTATTTTTTTTTTAAAGAAACAGTTTTAAAAATAGCATAGAGGTCTCTCTTTTTAGTGCATCCACTGTCAAATGTGTAGAAATAAATTTAAAAAAATGCTTCAGTACTTCCTAGGGTTGAGTTTGAATTAGAAGAGAAATTCATTGTCGAATCACTTTATTCTAAAGAGTTTGTTGTTTTGTTTTTTTCAGTCGTTTTTGAGTTTGATAATATTTCAAGTTATGAAACACATTACTTATGTTGCACATTTCATCTTAAAATTTTATAGTTCATTGAGAATTTACTCTAAAGCATAAATTGGTTTTCACTCTCCTCTCTGCCTTTATTATTTGATACTTTTTTTACGCTAATTTTTAAAAATAAATATGTAAAGGCTCTTCATTTTTTATCCTTTCACTCTATTGGAATGGCCCTTTATTTACATATTTATTTTATAATGATTTTAGTTAGATTTATGTGCCCGTTTCAAATCCAGGACTTTATAATGAACTGTATGTTTAATCGATTTGTATCCAATAAGTAAATTTGGTCCAACTTTATACCGAGTACTTTTAAAACCTGTGTTGAGACAAATTGATTACATTTTTTCCCCTAAAAAAAATAGTAAAATTTTAACACCTCGCCTATTGTTTATATCCTCAATGGCAAAGTAGAACTCATTGTATTGAAATCAAAAAAAGGACCCCCTTTAAAAAAAATAATAATAATAACCTAGAAGCCCCTTTTACCCTTGTGATAAAAACATTTTTAAAAAATCAAAAAAAAATCAAGCATTTTACTGATTTTATTTTTGATTAGTTGGGCTCCTTCGATAAAGGGGGCGGACGGTGGACAGCTCAGCGATTTCATAGACGGCCTCGGACCTGGACAACTGGTCGGAAGGCAGGTGTTGGGCGCACCTTCACTTGGTGATATTCAGCTCTCCATGAGGTACCAGAAGGGCTACCTCGAGGTCGAGGTGATCCGAGCCCGGTCCCTTCAGGCTAAAGCCAACTGCAAAGTCCTCCCAGGTGAGCCCTTCGGCCCTTTCATTCCACGTTTGTATTTTATTTCTCTTTTTTTTCCCCAGCTCCTTACGTCAAAGTGTACCTCGTTAATGGGAAGAAGTGCCTTGCCAAAGCGAAAACAGCCACGGCCCGTCGGACTTTAGACCCGCTCTACCAACAACAGCTTACTTTCCAAGGTCCTTTTCACAACTGTATACTTCAGGTAAATGATTTCACTTAATGTCTAGGTTCATTTTTATTTAAAATATAGAGTATTTATAGATGTTCTAGAAACCTTGAAAAACCGCTATGGCCCTTGAAAAACTGGACGAAACACACTTGCTCACTGGATGACAGACCCAAACCGTTCTAGCGTCGAGTGTGCTATTAAATACGAAACAGGACACTGTGACACGAAATTTCCTTATTGGAATCAATCCTTCTTTTTTCAATCTAAATTCTTTCTTCCTTTTTTAATATTTTTCGAACATTTCCATTATTATGTCAAGCCACTCGTGCTGAATGAAGTTGTAACAACATTCTCTAAAGAATTAAAATATGTATGAATCATCTTTGTCCAAACACTCTCACAGAATCAGCAGCTAAATAAACTCACACATAGAACAAATTGCCGTTGGTCGATATAAACGCGTTAGTGTGAAAAACTGGGGTCAAAACCCAAATATGGTCGTGCGGTTATACGTAGTGTTTGTAAGACCCTGTACAGCATATACATCGTTGGATTAGTGGACAAAGATATTACAGCTAAGGCGATATGGATTCTCAATTCTGCTCAAGGGCCAGCATGCCTGAGCATTACTGGGCGATGAGAACGACCTCCATTGCTACCTTGTAAGTTTTGGAACTACCATCATTACAATCCTCATCCAGAGAAAAGCTAGAGTCACAATTTACAGATGATGCAGGTGTAAGCTCTGGTAGCCTACTCGCATAAAAAGGAGCGAATAAAATTTCGGGAGAATTTTTTGACAACCCGAGTCAGAGCTGGCGGCAAAATGCCACTCCTTTCCAGCGGAGACTGTGGTTGTTAAGCACTGTGCCAAGGAGGTTAAAAGATTAAGTATTACTAACCAAAGAATAGCCATTTACTCGAATAGCCAAATGGCAACTTTCTCATGGGTAGTTGAGTTTAGAGCCGTTTGGGATTGCACCTCTGTCAGACATTGCGGCTTTGTTTGGATGCCAAGCTCTAAGGGCAGAAAGGCAACGAAGAGGCCTATAACTTAGCCAAGGAATGTGTCGCGTTCGATGTCACAATATAGACCCGCATGAAAAGGCCCTAATCTCTTTTGCATACCAAACTACCAAAAACGTCAATCCATCAGGCAATGATGAGTCTTAATCCAGAAATTAACGGCTGAACTTCTAAACCTAGGAAATGTCAGGACTATAATGGTAGTAAGACAGTTTACTGGACATTGCAGACTCTGGAGGCATATAGATTAGAATTAGAAGATGAAGTTGAGGTTATCGACCTGCGCAAATGATGTTACGAATTGGATCTTCGGGAGGTCAAATGAGGATGAAATAATAGGATTAGAAGAAACAAGCCTGTGCAAATATTACCTGGGAGAATAATAAACAGCCGAACATGTCTTCGAGTGGCGCCTAAGCAGGATAAAATTCTTACCCCTTGCTTCCGCCACACTAAACGGGCAGTTCAACCTATGTGATAGGAATTACGTTACTTACTTTCTTACTCTTTGGAGAGTGACGAAGCGAAGGCCTTTTTTGAACTCTGGGAAATGCTCAATGTGAAGCTCTAAATAATAATGGAAATTCACAATAGTTCAATACTGATTGCAGTGCGTAGGTCGAAAAGATGCCGACTCCTTTTAACCTTTAACCTTTTAACCATTCCAATGGAGTTTATAAAATAGCGTTCTAGGGATAGGGGTAGAGAGGGATAAGAGAGGCGGCCACAAGACCTACTGTACCTCGACCTAAATAGATCTATTGTGCTCCTCTGTTATTTATAACTCACTGGCCAGCGTCAGGATATTAACCAGCCTTCACACCTTTGCCAGCGGTTCTTTGGTGTAGATCTTGCTTGCGGGTTTTCTTATCCTAGCTGCAAGAACTTGCACCTACATCGATCTTCACATATGTTCTGCGGTCTCTTCCTCTTCCTGGCAGTATCTGCACAGTGTTTCTTCTGTCTGTACTCCGGTGCATGTGCTTTCTTGGGTGGCAGTGCCCCGTCAGGAGTCCAACCAGAATCCAGGTTCGGTGTGGTTACCTTCCAGTAGTTCTTTTGTAAGTTTTTCGGATGGTCCTTCTATGAATCTCTTCGCGTGCCTCATACCTGTGGTATTGTTCCACCAGGTTTTGGACTCATTAAGGATCCATTTTAAGATATCCTTTTTTGTGGCAGCTGCTAGGCCGCAGTAGGATTCTAGGCCCATAGAGTCCATGTTAGCTCCCTTTTTGGCCAACATGTCAACCAACCTTTTCGTTGCCTCTATGCCCCGAATGTCCAGGGAAGAGTTCTAGGAAAAAGATTATCAGACAACAGACCGTGCTAGTGACGAGTGTGCTAAATTAAAATGGCCAGCTAGCTAGGTTAACTTGTTAAAAATGCCTCTGATTTGGCCATCTTTATTTTACCCTCACTCTAACTTGTTTATTCCTTTCTTATTATTTATTTTTTGTGAACAATTCCATTGTGAGCAACAGACAAGTAGTAAGTCGTAACTTTTTCTAATCCTAAAAAATTTGACGAAATAACATGCGCATTAGTTGACAGATCCTAGGCTGTCCTGGAGTCGATTGTGCTATTTCGAATGACACTCATTCATCAGCGAACGTTTCGATTTTACATTTAACAGGAATAGCACAGTCTGAGTGAAAACAATATATTTTCTGTTTAAAAAATATTGTGGATCATTACCGTATATGTTTGTTAATTTTCTTTTTTTTTTTCTTCTGTTCCAGGTTACAGTTTGGGGTGATTACGGTCGTATAGAGGGGAAAAAAGTGTTTATGGGTGTTGCTCAGATCATGCTCGATGATCTTAATTTACAAGACATTGTCATCGGGTGGTACAAACTGTTTGGGACGTCTTCATTGGTCAGTGGCCCACCATCCCTTGGTCTTTCTCGACGCACTTCAGTAGCTAGTCTTGATTCCCTCAAACTATCATAGTTAATACCATTTAGTCATAAAGATCGCTTCAGCCCAGGCTCCAAAGAAGCGCACCGCCGTCACGTTAAACGTGTCTTACTCGAGTCGAGCGAATTGACCATTTTTATACACTTTTTTTTTTTTTAATTGAGAACATTGAGTTTCATTTGAAAAATACTGCATGAAGCAATTGGAATAACAATTTAAGTAATTAGTATTAGTTCGAATAGCAACCGACCAAATCGAACTCTAATATGTCACATATTCCACTCGGTTTTCCTTTTATTTCCATTCTTTTTTTTTCGACTTGCAGACGTCGAATAAATAATTGATAAAGGCCGGCCCCGAGTAAATAATTCATAACAGGGACTTAGTTAGAAAGCTCACGCCCACAAATAGGCTTCGTACAAATATCGTAGGTAACTTGACCACTTAGCTCTGCTCTCATTGTGTGTGCTCAATAAATTAGCTATTAATTTTGCAAATAGCCTGCTTGCTCGAATCAGTAATTTAATATTCAGTTTATAAACAAATATTTTTTCTTTAATTATTCAATTTTTCTTTTTTTGTTAGTTTTTATAAAGTTTTTCACTTTATATAATTGCGCTTGCTTCTTTTTCAGCATGAATTTCAAGTAGTTAAGTGATTTTATTATTTTTATTTTTTTACTGCCTTTTTCGAATTACTAGACATTTTCGGATAAGAGGGAAATCCCTTTCTATCGACAAGATTTTGGAAAATCTAGCAAAAAGTTATCAAACTTCATCAAATGCTCTTTTAAACTAGTTACACTTAAAACAAAACAGGAAATAGCATTTTCCTCGGCCAATTTAGCAACTCGTGACCGGATAATTTAATTTTCCGTTAAATTTTTCAATTCCCACCATAAAATGAAAAAAAAATAACAGGATAGGCCCAATAGTCACTAATTTTATAGTTCCAATTGCACCATTAATAAATTCAATTAAAAACCCTATGTTTTAAACATTTATGAACATTAATTTTACATCACTTACAAAAAAATAGTGTTTAAGGATGTCAATTTTGAATAATGACGTGTCTTCTAATATATTATAGGACTGATTAAAAAAAAGTTGTATGTTTAACAATTGCCTAAAAATTCTTTGTGCGTGTTTCGAGCATGTTGAATTCAGAGCTTTATTTTTTATTTTTTGAACGGCTAAGTCTGGAAATGAGTGCCTTAAGCGATAAAAACTTTACTAGTATTTCTCGATTTTTTTTTTTTTAAAGAAATGATAAAAATAGTCATTTTTAGCTCGATCAGTTTTCCATTTATTATTATTCTGAGCTGACATTCTACTGTTCTATTGTGCATTTGTTTTATTTGTCTTGCAAATGAAAAATTCCGCCCAGTTCTGCTTGAACAAATTACACTATACATATAACATAATTTAAACAATTTGAATTGAGATATTGTGAAACATTAAATCGTGTTGATAAATATTGCCCTTTTAGCTTTTTTTTGTCCAGATGTTGATTTATTGAAACAACGTTCAGTTCGAAATGGTATTTTTATGACTGGTTGAATTGTTATAAAAACCTAAACAGGTACTAACGTATACATTTAAACGTATGCATGACGAAAGTTTTAAAGAAATACAACTAAAAAACTAATGAGTACATTTCAAAATCATTTTGACGAAGTTTAAAAAAATTTTACTCTTAAATATTTCATTAAACAAATCAAATTATCAATATTGCAAATTTAAAAACGTACACACATATAAATATTCACCCTTCCACAACCACTCTCTCTCTCTCTCTCTCTCTCTCTCTCTCTCTCTCTCTCTCTCTCTCTCTCTCTCTCTCTCTCTCTATCTATCTATCTATCTATCTATCTATCTATCTCCCTCCCTTCCTCCCTCCCCCCTCCCTCCTAAATTCTCTCGCTTTCTCTGCCTGTTTCATTATCTCCTTTCTTCTCTATATCTGTCTCTCTGTATTTGTTCGGTTTCTTAATCAATGTGACTTTTTCTCACCATCTTCTCTCTTTCTCTTTCATTATCTTCTTTCTTCTACTCACCCACTCTCTCTATTTATCTTATTAACTTACTATTTCAATCAATTTATCCCTTTTTTTCACTCACCCGCTGTCGTTGTGCATCTCTCTCTCTCTCTCTCTCTCTCTCTCTCTCTCTCTCTCTCTCTCCTCTCTCCCTCCCCTTTACATAAATAAATCTATTCGTAAATATTCATGCACTTCTCTCTCTTGTACACTAAGCATTGCACAATTCCTTAACCACAACTAACTTATTGTGGCCACGGTTTGTACCAGAACGAGCAAAATTGGTGGAATTTCTTTTTTTGCGTTTTTTTTACAACAAAGTATGTACATAATAAGCATAGCGAAATAATTTACAAATTACACCATCATTTTTAATGAGGTGGCCTTGTTTGTCTTGCACATTCAAATTGATCACGGTTGATTTGCATGCCTTCTCTTTAAAATTACGCAAAGCGCATTCAGCCAACGATTAATTTTTTAAAAATCATATTCGGCTTGGTTTAGTGCGCTAAATAACATAATATAAAACTTTATTTTTGTTTTGTTTTTCCACCTGACTGATTTTTGTTTGTTTTTCTCTGTTTTCCAGTGAGTTTCATTGTCCTGTAGGCAAACGCATAAACGCCGGAATGTGAACGTACAGTGCTGTGGTTCGTACACGTCTGGACGGAGTGTCACAGTGATACACGCTCGACGATATCGCATTTGCGTTCATGCCGTACACGTTGTGTTTTGTTTCACCGTACCCGTACCTTTGGCCGAAGGGGAGGGTTTTTATCAAATTCCAAAAATTCGCTCCCGAAACGTTATATACCGAAAACACATTAGGTGAATGTCTTTGATACCTATGTCTTAATTACCAAAGTAGTTATATTATGTATATTGTTTATTCTGTTGTAAAACATTCACCAATAGGGTCATATTTTTATGATTCTTAGGTTTTTATAAAAATGCATTCATAAAGTAAAAAATATCTTAATATCATAACAACAATAAGTGACTCTGATGTATGTGATTAGACCGTTTCGTCGTAGAAGCGAGTCATATCGGAATGACACTGAAAAGTAAATAAATTAGTGTAAATAGAGACAAACTAATGTGATATAAGGTAAAAATGATCTTGCGTTTCTTATTGTTACAAATATATTTTGTATTAGTGTTAAATTAAATACGCCATCTATTGTTATATTATAAAAATGACTATACCTTTTTTACATAAAATTTAAGATAAGTTTTTCGTTACCGAATAAACTACATACCCTTTTTAAATATTCAGGGAATAGTGTTTCTTATAAAATAAAATTTTAAAAAAATGTTTAAAAATGACAAAAATACTTTTTAAAAAGAATAATTTACGAGACATGTAGATTATCTTTGTTATTAAGTAATCAATAATCACATGCAACAAGAGTTACCATTTTCTTTACCTCTATTTTGTGCATCCTGGGGAAGATTAAATTGTCTATTTTCAGTATACAAATATTAGTTGTCTATTTTCCCAGACTAAAAGGCAAAAAGGAACCTGTATTTATTATTGTATAAAGTCTACCGTGTTTCTCGATGTCCTTACCGCCCGGGGGGAAGGTTTTGTTTTCCCCAATTGCTTTATATTTACGACAAAATTTTAATATGACTTACCTCGGCTCTGTGTGTTTATGATATTGGGCGTTTGAGCTGCTGTTTGAAAGTACGGACATTAGGCAATAACATAAACAGAAGTATATTTTTTATTCAGGTAATTAAATCGGAAAGTGAAAGAGGAACTCAAATTCCCCAAGACGGGAACCACCGCTGTTAAAGGAAACCGATTCCTGCGAGAGTACGAATTTGTAAATGTTATAATTTGTTGTATGTGACTTGCACATGACCAATTTAAGGGAGGATCATAAAGCCTTTTATATCAGAACATGGTTTAATGGCAAGATATAGCTTAACAGAAATTATATATGTATGTATGTATGTATGTATGTGTGTGTGTCTATATATACATAAATATATATATAAACACTTATATATATATATGATATAATTTAAAAAATATATAAAATATAAGTATATACATTTTTTTAGGTGTAAGTAAGATAATGTAGATTTTTTAAACTTTTATATTTTCCATCAGGCTTCTTCCCATATAATATGCATCAAAACGTTTGTATGCTTTAGATGCTTATGAGCATTTATCTATTATTTACAAATTAGAATCAAATACAATTTTTAAAAACTTAAATAATAATAAATTTCAGTTTGCAAAAGGATATAAAAGGCAATATATCATTATAACACAGAAACATAGTAGAAAAGTGACAAAATGCACGTGATTATTCGCCGTGTAAAAATTAAAAAACAAAACAATATCAACATTTGAATTTTCTCTCACGATTAACAATTAAAAAAATATAAAATAAAAATATTTCCTTTTGTTGTCCTACATTTCAAACCTGATAGCATCAATCTCAAGTTGTCGATCACTTCAAAGAGCGAGACAAACACACTTTTCACTTTAGGAATGATGGATTTTTTTAAAATAATAATAAAATAAGTCGGTGTGGCAATTAATTTCAATTAGGACACTATTATATCGAAAAAATAGTAAAATTGTATTTTCAAAACTCGTTTATTAAATTTTGAATGCCAAACCTGAAATAAAACACTAAAGCATTTTAAATTAATCTGGATTTATTAAGACAAATCTTTTAGAAATGTTCCTATTTTGGATTCGTTTGCTGACTTATTATGAAGAAGAGAAAAAACTGTCCAATGTATTTTTAAGCAAAAATTTGAATCGCTCACGAATGTTAAGAAATTGATAGCGGATCTGAAAGAATAATAGTCAAATAATCGACACAATTTTTTTAAATCTTAAGAATCTTGAATAGGTTGGGTGTGCAGTCTTTTCGAAAAATTCCCATGAAATTTGCTTTTTTATTTTTATTTGTGTAAAACTTCCCTTAAAAACTGAATTTCTTCGACGCCACCATGTTTGACATATCGTTGCTGTGTGATGTTAGATTTGTAATAGCTTACTTTCATTTTTGTAACTATAGCTCAAAATACCAAATAAAAAAATTAAAATAAAAAAATAAAATAAATCACACTTTAGACAACTTTTTCTGTACATTTAGTGAAACACATTTGTTTTCATCACGTAATTTCAGTGTTTGTCGACATTACGTTATAAAAATAGGTTAAAATATTGTAAATAGATTGTTGTTTTTTTTCCTGTAGCTCTCTGTTTTTATTATCTTTTTAAATTTGTTGATTTTTATTGTAACGTTCCACTCGCTTTCTTAGCAACTGTTTAAAGTTGTTAATTTTTGGAATGCCCGTTTTGTTAAATTTAAAAATAAAAAATTGTAAAATTAACGAGCGGCTTTAGAAATGATGTTTTATTGATAATTGGCAATAAAACAAAATAATAAGTTTTAAAAAAATCAAACTGGCTACTTTACTTTTCGAAGTCGCAATCAATGCAACATCCCCCCCCCAGTACTTTATGCACTTAATATTTTATTTTTTCTCCCTTCTTTTATTTCATCAAATTTTGCTAGTACACTTTCTTTCCCAATACCGCATAATGTATGTAGTACTTTTTTTCATGATTGATGTACGAACCTTATAAAGACAGAACACCCTCCAGTTTGTCAGCCTATTCATAATCATCACTTTAACTCAGGCTTAAATGAATGCTATATGTACTAATATACTGAAGTCAAGCTCAGTACTGAAATATAAATTTGAAAATTTGACTTAAAAACAACTTTAAAATATATCATTTCTAGAGGCGTTGACTGAGACCGGGCCGAGAGTGGAATTATGTGACAATTTCAGATATAAATTACAACCAGTTTTATGTAATATCCCTCCTCAATGGGGAATTAAATGTGCTGTAATTTTGAGGATAAAAAATGTGATACCATTAACATATAGAAATTTCTTTTTTTTTCTTTTTTTTAATATGAAGGATGCGAAAGGGACTGTTTGTTTTGCTTTAAAAATAAACTTTAAAAAATGCAGTGTTTGTAAAACCAGCCAAACATATCTTCAGGTCGATGGTGAAATGAACACGGGACGAACAACAATGTTTTAAAATTAATTACAAAAAAAACTTTCCTTAGTAAAATAGGAAAGAAATTCCCTTGCGGTGTACAAATGTTTCAGATTGTGATATAAATGAAATTTGAACAAAGGATATGAAAAAATAGAATTTTAAAAAAAGTCGATTTATTTGCAATAGCATATCATTGTTTGTATGAATTGTATATTTTATCGATGGCTGCGAGTATTTTTGTTTAGACCAGACTTAACCAAATCGGATGGTGTTCCCAGATATGTAATTTATACAATTTATGCTCAAATACGTCTAAATAAAAATACTCGGCTCTTTGATTTCTATTACGTTTTGTTGTCGAAATAAAAAAAATCCACACTGATATTTTCTGTGTCTAAACACTGAAAAAAAATGTTAAAAATTAAAAAAATATATATATATCATTGGTACTTAAGAGCTTTAATAAATTGCAAACAAATATTATTAAGTAAGGAATAAAGTGTATATAAAATTATCTTTCCTTGTAGTATACTGGCGTTTTATTTAAAAAAAATAAAAAATAAAAAAAATTCTTTATAAGTTACATCATATCTGCTTTGCATATGAATAGCTGTAAATATTCAAAAACTAACATTTGTACGAGGTACATTCTAGTAGTTTGTATGTAAATATATCAGTTATTTAAAATACGCTATAAAAGTGTTAATATCAATGACCTTATAGATAACAATAAAATTAATAGGACCAATGCAAAATCGCTTAATATTTCATCTTTGTTTTAGTAATGTTTTGTTGTTATCGATTAAAAACTAGTGACAGTGAATTTCTGGGAATGACTTGATGATGCTTAAAATGCCAAACAGTTTGAGAGTGTAATATTTGAAAAAAAAATGTCTTGCCAAATATTAAAATAAAGACTCGCAATATTTTAATACAAAATGTTCTATTCAAGTTTATAAAAGCTTTTCACAACTCGATCCTACTTTTTTCTTTCAATTTAGCCAGCATTTGTTATATTTTCTTGATTGCTGATTAAAGACGGAAAGTTATGATTTTTTTTTTTTTAAAGAAGGTAAGTAACGTTAAGACGACTTTTGTTAATTCGTTTACGTTTTAGAATGGAAAATAATATGTTTTATGGTAGGAAGTTATAGGAAAGGATACCCAAGTATTAGCTATTTTAACCAAAACTTAGGGATGATTAAGAAGAGACTACTTTCCTACAAGACTGTTTTTAAACCCCATGAAAACTTAAGGTCCTGGTTTTGATTTCATTACACATCCTTAAACAAATCCCCAAGAAAGCCTCTTTAATTCGGTTCTTCGCACAACTTAATTCCGTCTTTTTTACAATCGAATGAAGTAGATGTAGATGTAATGTTCGGGGTGTAGTATACTGCACCCTTTAAGAGCTAGGTATTCCCATTCTCTACCTAAAGCACATCGGTGAGTTCTATTTCATCAAGGAACTTGATTAATAGGCCCGGTTTCAGTGGTTGAAGCACTTCTATGGTCACATTATACATCCCAAAAAACTTCCTCCTGCGGGCAAGTGTAGCTCCGCAGTTTGATAGTAGATGTGTTGGTGGGCTCCTGTGCCTCCTTGCAGAATCTGCATTGCTATTATTCCAATCGTCTTTAAGTGTCCATTTAGCTTGCAGTGTCCTGTTAAGAATCCTATTAGGATTCGCAGTTTGTTCCTGCTTCCCTTGACACATTCTGTATTTCTTTTCTTCCGAAATTTGTTAAGAGATTCTTGGATTGTCTATGTCCAATGAGCGAATTCCATTTTTTCTTTATTTTATTTTTATCCTTCTGTCTGAGATACTCATTAATAGTGTGGGTTCCTATGACACAGAACGATTCGCGTCCTGTCAGCGGTGTAGCAGCTCCTTGTCTTGCAAGGGTGTCCGCTTTTTCGTTGCCTTTCACTCCCATGTGTCCTGGGACCCAGCAGAGGCTGACTTTGTTCTGCGTACCTAACAAGTTAAATTTGGTTTTGCAGTTCAGCATCATCCTTGAACTAATGATATTTGAGCTTAGTGCTTTGATGGCTGCATCATCTATTATGATAGCTATGTTCTTGTTTTTGTACCCTTTATTCAGGTTGAGTTGAGTACCTCTCTCGATTGCGTGATTCTCAGCTTGGAAGATTCTGATGTATTTTCACATGTTCTGTGTGATTTGGTTCAAGGACCGAATACTCCTGTCCTTGTACTTTCTTGTGTTCTAGATCCAAAGGATGGTGCCATTCTTAAAGGAGGTGTTTCCCTCTCGTTCCCATTCTTTTTTGTTACCTAGATTTATTTGGAAGTTTTGATTAAATTCAAACATCCTATTAATGTTGTCTCTCTTGGAGCCATAAGTAACGGATGGTCTTTCATTATTTTGTAGCTGTCTCTCTATTTTAGTTTTATTCCTGTTGGTGGTTTCTATTTGATAATACTAATGAGGGTTTTCTGCGCTGTCCTCGTTACTATGTGGTGTAGGGGGATTAATCCCAATACTTTTTCCATGCTAATTGTGGGGCATGTTCTCATTGCTCCCGTTACACAAATGCATGCAAGTCTCTGTATTTTTGTGAGTTTTCTTTTAGTTACTTGTTCTGCTTTATCGGCCCAGGCTACAGCTCCGTATGTAAGTATGGGTCTTACTATCATGGTGTACATCCAAAGAAGAATTTCCGGTCTGCATACCCAGTACCTTCCTGCTATTCTTCTGCACACTTATCAAAGTTCGCGTCGCCTTCGTAATGGTAGAGCCGATGGGTTTCTTAAATGTCAGTGTTTTATCTAGTGTGATGCCCAGATATTTGACTTCTTTTTTTATATATATCAGTGCTATTGAGTGTTATTTGCCTCATGCGATCTAGTTTTCTAGGGTTGATTCCTAAATCAACGGTTCAACCATTCTTCTGTGATTTTTAATCCCTCTTGGATTATGTCAC